TTCAAACAAACATCTAACAACATAAACATTAATGAGAAAAGCATTATAAAATGTTTTTTTTTGTTTTAGCAATGTTTGAGATGATGTTTGTATGAAAATAGTGTATTTACATAATTTTCTAATTTAAAATGAGAAACTTCAGGAAAGAAACACGGAAAGTGTTTCTATTAAATGTTGTTTTTCTGTCTGAGTTTTTGAAGCTAATTTAAATTAAATTTAGTTTTAAAGAAAATTTGCTTTAAAGTTGTTTTTAATTTTGACTTAATCCTATTTAAAATTTAAAATTAATTTTTTTTTTAAATTTAATTGCATTTTTAAGGCTATTCAATTGTTTCTTTTGTCGCTTTGTTTTTATGTTTTGGGTGTATCTTGTGTTCTTGTTTATTTTAGGGTTTTCTATTTTTATTTTATTATTTTTTGTTTATATTTTCATTTTTATATTTTATTTATTTTCCCATTATTTAAAATTAATTTAATAATTTATTTAAAGAATTAAAGAACCTCCCACCATAAACAATAATTATTTAATATTTTTATTCCAATGTTTTATTCTTTTTCCCCAAACATTCTTCACAACAAATAAGACAAACACTAAAAACATCAATAAAAACATGAATATATTTAAAACAACAATAAACGAACAACAACAACAAAAACATTTATTACCTCAACAACATGTTTTAATTAAAAGTTCCCCAATGTTTTTACAAACTTTAAATAATTCTTTTACTGAAACAAAACAATTAGAACAACAAGATGGACTAAATATACAAAACTGCCTCATGAATGTAAGGGGGTAGAATTCATAGGATTATCATAGATGGGACTAAATATACAAAACTGCCTCATGAATGTAAGGGGGTAGAATTCATAGGATTATCATAGATGGGACTAAATATACAAAACTGCCTCATGAATGTAAGGGGGTAGAATTCATAGGATTATCATAGATGGGACTAAATATACAAAACTGCCTCATGAATGTAAGGGGGTAGAATTCATAGGATTATCATAGATGGGACTAAATATACAAAACTGCCTCATGAATGTAAGGGGGTAGAATTCATAGGATTATCATAGATGGGACTAAATATACAAAACTGCCTCATGAATGTAAGGGGGTAGAATTCATAGGATTATCATAGATGGGACTAAATATACAAAACTGCCTCATGAATGTAAGGGGGTAGAATTCATAGGATTATCATAGATGGGACTAAATATACAAAACTGCCTCATGAATGTAAGGGGGTAGAATTCATAGGATTATCATAGATGGGACTAAATATACAAAACTGCCTCATGAATGTAAGGGGGTAGAATTCATAGGATTATCATAGATGGGACTAAATATACAAAACTGCCTCATGAATGTAAGGGGGTAGAATTCATAGGATTATCATAGATGGGACTAAATATACAAAACTGCCTCATGAATGTAAGGGGGTAGAATTCATAGGATTATCATAGATGGGACTAAATATACAAAACTGCCTCATGAATGTAAGGGGGTAGAATTCATAGGATTATCATAGATGGGACTAAATATACAAAACTGCCTCATGAATGTAAGGGGGTAGAATTCATAGGATTATCATAGATGGGACTAAATATACAAAACTGCCTCATGAATGTAAGGGGGTAGAATTCATAGGATTATCATAGATGGGACTAAATATACAAAACTGCCTCATGAATGTAAGGGGGTAGAATTCATAGGATTATCATAGATGGGACTAAATATACAAAACTGCCTCATGAATGTAAGGGGGTAGAATTCATAGGATTATCATAGATGGGACTAAATATACAAAACTGCCTCATGAATGTAAGGGGGTAGAATTCATAGGATTATCATAGATGGGACTAAATATACAAAACTGCCTCATGAATGTAAGGGGGTAGAATTCATAGGATTATCATAGATGGGACTAAATATACAAAACTGCCTCATGAATGTAAGGGGGTAGAATTCATAGGATTATCATAGATGGGACTAAATATACAAAACTGCCTCATGAATGTAAGGGGGTAGAATTCATAGGATTATCATAGATGGGACTAAATATACAAAACTGCCTCATGAATGTAAGGGGGTAGAATTCATAGGATTATCATAGATGGGACTAAATATACAAAACTGCCTCATGAATGTAAGGGGGTAGAATTCATAGGATTATCATAGATGGGACTAAATATACAAAACTGCCTCATGAATGTAAGGGGGTAGAATTCATAGGATTATCATAGATGACTCATGAATGTAAGGGGGTAGAATTCATAGGATTATCATAGATGGGACTAAATATACAAAACTGCCTCATGAATGTAAGGGGGTAGAATTCATAGGATTATCATAGATGGGACTAAATATACAAAACTGCCTCATGAATGTAAGGGGGTAGAATTCATAGGATTATCATAGATGGGACTAAATATACAAAACTGCCTCATGAATGTAAGGGGGTAGAATTCATAGGATTATCATAGATGGGACTAAATATACAAAACTGCCTCATGAATGTAAGGGGGTAGAATTCATAGGATTATCATAGATGGGACTAAATATACAAAACTGCCTCATGAATGTAAGGGGGTAGAATTCATAGGATTATCATAGATGGGACTAAATATACAAAACTGCCTCATGAATGTAAGGGGGTAGAATTCATAGGATTATCATAGATGGGACTAAATATACAAAACTGCCTCATGAATGTAAGGGGGTAGAATTCATAGGATTATCATAGATGGGACTAAATATACAAAACTGCCTCATGAATGTAAGGGGGTAGAATTCATAGGATTATCATAGATGGGACTAAATATACAAAACTGCCTCATGAATGTAAGGGGGTAGAATTCATAGGATTATCATAGATGGGACTAAATATACAAAACTGCCTCATGAATGTAAGGGGGTAGAATTCATAGGATTATCATAGATGGGACTAAATATACAAAACTGCCTCATGAATGTAAGGGGGTAGAATTCATAGGATTATCATAGATGGGACTAAATATACAAAACTGCCTCATGAATGTAAGGGGGTAGAATTCATAGGATTATCATAGATGGGACTAAATATACAAAACTGCCTCATGAATGTAAGGGGGTAGAATTCATAGGATTATCATAGATGGGACTAAATATACAAAACTGCCTCATGAATGTAAGGGGGTAGAATTCATAGGATTATCATAGATGGGACTAAATATACAAAACTGCCTCATGAATGTAAGGGGGTAGAATTCATAGGATTATCATAGATGGGACTAAATATACAAAACTGCCTCATGAATGTAAGGGGGTAGAATTCATAGGATTATCATAGATGGGACTAAATATACAAAACTGCCTCATGAATGTAAGGGGGTAGAATTCATAGGATTATCATAGATGGGACTAAATATACAAAACTGCCTCATGAATGTAAGGGGGTAGAATTCATAGGATTATCATAGATGGGACTAAATATACAAAACTGCCTCATGAATGTAAGGGGGTAGAATTCATAGGATTATCATAGATGGGACTAAATATACAAAACTGCCTCATGAATGTAAGGGGGTAGAATTCATAGGATTATCATAGATGGGACTAAATATACAAAACTGCCTCATGAATGTAAGGGGGTAGAATTCATAGGATTATCATAGATGGGACTAAATATACAAAACTGCCTCATGAATGTAAGGGGGTAGAATTCATAGGATTATCATAGATGGGACTAAATATACAAAACTGCCTCATGAATGTAAGGGGGTAGAATTCATAGGATTATCATAGATGGGACTAAATATACAAAACTGCCTCATGAATGTAAGGGGGTAGAATTCATAGGATTATCATAGATGGGACTAAATATACAAAACTGCCTCATGAATGTAAGGGGGTAGAATTCATAGGATTATCATAGATGGGACTAAATATACAAAACTGCCTCATGAATGTAAGGGGGTAGAATTCATAGGATTATCATAGATGGGACTAAATATACAAAACTGCCTCATGAATGTAAGGGGGTAGAATTCATAGGATTATCATAGATGGGACTAAATATACAAAACTGCCTCATGAATGTAAGGGGGTAGAATTCATAGGATTATCATAGATGGGACTAAATATACAAAACTGCCTCATGAATGTAAGGGGGTAGAATTCATAGGATTATCATAGATGGGACTAAATATACAAAACTGCCTCATGAATGTAAGGGGGTAGAATTCATAGGATTATCATAGATGGGACTAAATATACAAAACTGCCTCATGAATGTAAGGGGGTAGAATTCATAGGATTATCATAGATGGGACTAAATATAGAAAATTACAATGTATAAAGTTTTTGTTTTTCAAAAGTCTGTCCTGAATGAAACCGTAGATGAATCAAAATCTTGAATTTAATAAATCGAAATTTTTTTTAACTTTGGAATAATTTATTTGTTATTTTCAACAAAACAATCACAATAATAAATTTTAAGTTACAAAAAAAAATCCAGAAATAAATTAAAAAGGAATTAATTAAATTAAAAGTTGAATAATTAAAAGAATCGTTCATGACCGATTTTAAAATCGAAGACGTTCGAGAGTAATTTTAAAAAATTCACCCAAAATAAAATATTTAAGACTCATAATCAGATGCCGATTAATAATCAGTAGTGAATAACCTTATTAAATAATTATAAAGAAAAAGGCATTTAAGAAAGAAAAGTTAAATTTTAAAGAATTAACAACCGGGTAAATAGAAAAGAAGAAATCTCCACAAAAAACCCTTCATTCTGCCTTTTTGGCAAATCCATCAGGATTTTTAACACACCAATTCCAAGTGTCCCTGCACATTTCGTCTATTCCATATTCCGCTTTCCATCCAAGTTTTTTGAGTGCCAAAGAAGGATCACAATATAAAATAGCCAAATCTCCAGGGCGAGGCTCTACTTCTTTTACGGTTAACTTTAAAAAAGAAAAAATTTTAAAAAAATAATTTGAAGAAAGAAAACCTTTTTCCCTGACGCTTTCTCTAAGGCTGCAACCATTTCCTTGACCTAAAAATTTTTTTAAAATTATTTTTTTCATTCAAAGAAAACCAACAGAATATCCCTTTCCAGTTCCCAAATTGTAAATCTCTGCCAATTCTTCTCCATTACTTCCTTTTGGTATATCTTTGCCAATATTATCTAATGCAGAAACGTGAGCCTTTAAAAAATAAAAATAATTCTTTAAAGAATAAAAAAATAATTTATTAAGAATCCTAAATCAGCAAAAAGATTTTTAAAATTATTTTTAGGATGTGTTAGGTAATTCCGAAACAGTCTGGTCATCTTCGCCATTTTTGCTTTATTTGATAAGCTGGCTGGGAGGAAACTTCGCCAGCCCAGACTAGAAAATCTCAATTCTAAAAGATTGGAAATTTTGGAAATAAAGTAATTTTACTCCCAATTAGACATTCAAAAAACTTATTCCAAGTAAAACAATTTTCAAGAATTAAAAACCTTAGCCAAATCAACAATATGAATATAATCTCTAACTCCAGTGCCATCAGGAGTATTATAATTTGTTCCAAAAATATTTAAATGAGGCAATTTACCAACAGCTACTTTTGCGATGTAAGGCATCTTTAAAAAATAAATTTAAAAATATTTTAAACAAAATTAAACCAAATTGTTTGGAATTCCCTGAGGATCTTCACCAATCAATCCACTTGGATGTGCCCCAACAGGGTTGAAGTAACGAAGAATTGAAATTTTCCAGTCCTTTAAAAATAATTTTTTTAAAAATTTATTAAAACTAACAAGGAAAGGTTGCGAGGCGTCCGACCTAAAAACAGTCGAGACCGGGCTCATTCGATAGAGAATGTGCCCTTTCTAGCAAGGATTTTGTGCCGTTTTTGCCCGTGATTTGATCTGGCCAAGATATGGCCCTACAAGGTCTCAAAATTTTCAAACAATTCACAGACAAAATAAAAATTTAGCGGGTAACAATGAAAACTGGAATGTCACAAAAAATCTACAAGAAATGATAGGGTAGTTAAACTGTCCGCAAAATAAAAATTTTGTCCGCAAAAATTATTTAACTAAAAAAATCCAAAAATTACTCGCTTTAATCCCAATAATTCTAAATTCAGAAAAACCTGTTCAGCTCGTTTCAAATCCATAAGAATTCGTTCAACCATAAATTTAGTTTGTCCATAAGGGTTAGTAATTCCCAAACCAACACGGCTTTCCTCAGTTAAAGGTAAAGACTCTGGTTCACCATAAACAGTTGCACTACTCGAGAAAATGAATTCTTTGACATTAAATTTTTGACAGCACTACAAAAATATAAAAATTCCGCAATCTTGAAATCCGCAAAATCTTGCGGACAATATTTGCGGATTATTTTATAATTTTCAAAAAGCAGCATAAGTTCTAAAAGTCTATGAGTTAACTTTAAAGGCCAATTCAATTTTCAAATTAAAAAATCCGCAAATATTGTCCGCAAGTTAAGTTGCGGACAAATTCATTGACGAGGACTAGTCCGCAAAATATTTAAAATCTAATAAAAAAACCTTAATTAAATTAAGAGAGCCAACAATATTGTTGTTATAATAGTCCAAAGGTTTGGCCACAGATTCCCCTAAAATTAAAAAAATAATTGAAGGAAATAAATTTAATTAACTGACCAACAGATTTTAAAGCAGCACAATGAATAATTGAACGAAATTTTTCCTAAAAAATAGAAAAAATAATTCTTTGAATTAATTTTGACCTTTTCGAAAAGTTCTTCTAATTTTGGCAAATCTAGAACGTCAGCTTGGAAGAATCTAAAAAAATTTAAATTTTAAAAAATCCGCAAAATATTTGCGGACAAAATTTCTGAGAGACCTAAAATCCGCAAAACTTTTGCAAACAGATTTTTGAGGGAAATAAAAATCCGCAAAAAATTTTGTGGACATAATTACAAGGGGAATTCTGTCCGCAATTATTATCCGCAAAAAATTCTTTTTTACTTTATAATCTTTCCAGTCAATTCAGAAACTCTTTGCAAACTAACAGCATTATTCTTCCCTTCATCTAAAATTTTTAAACAAAAAAAAAATAAATTTTAAAATTCCCAAAAACCTTGTGGAATTGAATTACTAAAATTATCTAATGCCAAAACTTCATAATCCGCCTCCAATAATTGTAGAACTGTATGTGAGCCGATAAATCCAGCTGCTCCTGTAACCAAAACTGTGCCTTTAGACATTGTTGAAGTGAATTTAAAGGAAGCAGCAAAGTTGATGGAGAAGGGAATACAAAGGAGAGGCTAGACTCTAAAGAACTTTTAAATAAAAAACACTATGCCAATAAAAAATAAAAGGCCTATTTGAGTATGGATTGTCCCAAGAAAAATTATATTTAAAAATATCTAAAGCGGCTACGGTAATTTACAATCAACGACGAAATATTCTTTAAATGTTCATTTTGCAAAACCTCCATTGTACAGGAAGTATAGGAAATCACAATAGGAAGTAAATAGCTGGTCCCCCATCGAATGATAACAATAAAAAAATATAAAATATTTGGTGACAGTAAACAAAGCGGGGTAGTCAGTCGATAATAGAGACTGGACTGGGACCGAGATCTCGATAGAAAATCTCGGTTATCGAGATCGAGAATTCTTCGAGATTCTCGATTCTCGTAGAACACTCTTAGTCCTGTCTCTATCCCTTATAAACTGTCTTGTAAAATAAAATAAAAATTTTTAATGAATGAAATTCGAAAAGGAAACAATTGATTTTTAAATTAAATATCGAGAATAATCATAATTTTCTTTCCCCGTTCAATATTGCTATTTGACTGGCTAACCACTCTTATAAAATATTTTATTTTATTTACTCTCAACGTGTAAATGAAACGTTGCAATTTTTGTTTTCCTTCTCCCCAACAATTCCACAAAAAAAGAAAAAAGGCAGTTTATTTAAAAAATTAAACAAAAGAATCTTTAAATAAAAAAATTAAAAAAAATATTTTTGAGGAAAAATAAAATATAATTATTTTTTTAAATAAATTTATTCATTGCAATATGTATATCACAGTTGAGGGAATTAAAAGTATACACAAGTGAAATAGAGGAATTTTTAAGAATAATTTATATTTAAATTTTTTATTAGACCTCTATTTTGTGAATTATTTAACTCCCTTTATAAGAGACTTATGTGGATAGATGAATTTGATGTCTCCTAAAAGTCCCTACTATCGAGAGTCAGTTAATTAGAGAGTCCATACTATCGAGTGTCTTTACTAACGAGAGTCTATACTATCGAGGGTCTCCACTGTCGAGAGTCTATAATATCGAAAGTCCCTACTAACGAGAGTATCTAAATTGAGAGTCTCCCCTATCAAGAGTTCATACCATCGAGGGGTCCATTCAAAGTCTTTTTCAAAGTCCACTATATAAACAAAAAAATACGTTAAATAGAGGTCTTTAATTATATTTTCATATTTTTACAAATATTTTTTAAAAAGAATATTTGGGCAATTTAAATATATAATTTAATAATTATGAAGAAAAATCTAAGATTATTACTATTTTTTGAAGTTTTTAAGTGAAAAATAAAATATAAATGCTTTAGCACTCGGAATTGGATAAAATTAAAATTTTTTAAAATTTTGGAAATAAAAATATATTTTCTTCTATTTTATAGACTGTGAAATAGAGAATTTCTATCCTTAATTTAATGTGTATAAGAAAGAAGTTGTAAAATGTTCTTCTATAGATATTTTTCACCACTACAAGTAGTGTGAAGGGAACACAGTAGGGCAAAAGGAACATGCCTAGTAGGGCGAAAGGAACATGCCTAGTAGGGTGAAAGGAACATGCCTAGTAGGGTGAAAGGAACCTAGGTAAAGTAATCATCTTTACAATGGAGGGCCCTATATCTCAACTGTATATAAAATAGAAGGCTCTTATAAAAGTATCGTCCTCAATTTAGAGGTAAAAAAATAATTATTGTCTATAAAATAGAGGTTTAAAAATTTTCTTCCTCCAAAATTCACCAAACAGTAGCCGATGTCCTTTGCTGTTGCTGGTGATTTGAAGAAATATTTTCTGAATTAGTAGAGGAAGAGGAAGTAGCTGAAGCTGTATCTTGATGATGATGATGGTTGTGAATATTAAAGGAATTTAAAATTTTATTATTTTTATTTAAAGGAATGTCGTTGTTGGCAGTTAAAAGTTCAATTAAAGTAACGGCATAAAAAGTATGTCTATCTAATTCTGATTGTTTTAATTCAATTAAAAAGGTGTCTTGATTGCTATAATGCCTTAACATGTCATCTAAAATGAAGGAAAAATTTTAAAAAAAAGTTTTAATTTTTGAATTTTATGAGACATTTGATCCATTTTTTAAAATTTTTGAAATTTTATAAGACATTTGGTCCCAAAAATTGGAAAATCCAATAAAATATTTTTTCTGTGTTTCTACCAGTTTTTTTCTACCAGCCCGTCCCTAAACCCGTCCCTTAAAAACTGGTAGAAAATAAAAAAAATATCTCGTTATAAGGTAATCCTTATAAGGTAATCCTCATTCCCTATCTAGTCGCTACTAGCGAAAGTTGGCTTGGAGGGTCTGTTATTGTTTAAATTTATTTTTGAAGTTTTTGAAGGAAGTTAGAGGAAATAGTGAGCACAATTTTCTATGGCATTTTGAATTCAAAATTTTTTTATGCCCTTGGTCCCCTTGGATTTTCACTCCTCTTGGATTACCAATGGTCCATTAGTTAAAGTTTTAATAATTTAAAAAATTCCAACCATCAATTTTAACAGTAATTCCACCCTTTTGGCATTGTTTATAAAAAGCTTCAATTTTAGTTTCATCTAAATTATATTTTTCGCTTATTGCACGAGCTAAACCACTAAAATTAAAATTCCTTTATATTTTTAAATATGTTTGGTTATTTACCCAAGTGATGGTGGAACTAAATGCAACGGTGTAAAAACGTCTTCGTCTGCTTTCCGGACGTATATCATTACTAGAAAATTAGAAAAATTTTAATTTTAGTCATATGTAGACAGTGGAGAATTAGGGGAGATAACCTCATAACCTCAACAATAATCCTCAAACTTTTCTAGTCGCTACTAGCGAAAGTTAGCTTGAAGGGTGTTATCTCTAACGTTATCTCTTTCTAAATTGAGTAGAGTTGGACAAGCCGAGACCGATACCGAGATTCTCGGCTTTTTTCCAATATCGGTCTCGGTTTTTTCATTCTCGGTCTCGAAACCGATACCGATATTCTCGGTCCATTTCTCGGCGAGAAACGATACTGACTCAAAGACCCCAATTTTCTTGTATTTTTAATAAAACTGAGAATTTTTGACCTTTGGCCTTCTGAATTTCAAAAAATTTTCGCCTGCGGCGCTGAAAAGAGTGAATCCTTCTTTATTTACCTTACAAAATCCGAGCATTTATCTAAGCTCTCAGGATTGAGGGTACTTTATGGATATGTCACCCCCCCCCCTCCTATTTTGAGTCTCAGTTTTCCTTAAACGTAGAAAATGGTCATGAAAATGGTCATTTTCTTCTCCATGTCAATCATTTTTTTCTTCTTCAAGTATTTTTTTTTCACTCATTTCGTTTATACATTTACCACATTTGCTTGAAGAAAGAAAAATGATTGACATGGAGAAGAAAATAATCTCTGACCATTTTCTACGTTTAAGGAAAACTCTGAGACTCAAAATAGGAGGGGGGGGTGACATATCCATAAAGTACCGGATTGAGTTCGCACGACTCTTTTATCTAGCTCAACTAAGTCCCATTAATTTAATAAAATTAAAAAGCTTAAATACAATACTGGGTTATTTGGAGGGATTTGGGTGTTTATGGGGATATCAATGGATTTGGAGGGATATCAAATGTAAGGCGGTGGGATATCGAATGTAATATACTTTTGTAACAGAGTGTATAATCCTTTTACCTATAAATCCTACTATTGTCACGGATATACTTATTCACGGATATACATATTCGGATACTGACACAAAAAGTTGTATCCAATGCCAAGCCAGATCGGATCCAGATGATGAAGAGTATTTATCTGATGAGTTGGATGATGAAAATAAAGAAAAAATTATTTTTACACGTATTTTTTGACGTAAAATAAAATTTTCTGTTAGTCTCGGTCAGTATCGTTTCTCGGTATCGGTCTCGGCTCAAAATGATGGTATCGGTCTCGGTATCGGGTTCTTGAGTATCGGTCAGTCTCGGTCTCGGGTTGGCCGATACCAGTATCGTTTTGTCCAACTCTAAAATTGAGATAGGAATAACGGGAAGAATCCGGCATATACCTTAAAGAAGACAGGGATAACGAGATACACCAGGATAAAAGGATTTAAAATAGTAAGACGGAGTGTAGAGGGTTGGGAAAGAAGGAGAGCTAATTTGAAGGATTGAATAAGTCTGTATGGACAAGAAGTCTGCATTTTTGTTAACCCAAAAAACTCAAAAAAATAATTATTTTCAAAAAATTTACCCCTTTCAGAAGATTTAGGCCTTTTAGGCTGCGGTTCCATTTCAGATAAAGCATCATAAGAACAAATCGAAGCTGTATCAAAAAAGAAATCGTCGCTAGGCACAAAAAGTGCTGCCGGCCTTTCCAAGTCTGCACTGTGATAAAATTGACTTCTTTCACAACTTTCATGGAATTCTCCACTGTCAATTTTCTTTCGTCCACCTCCCCCTCCTGCACCTCCGCTTGCTCCACCACTAACAGTTGGTGCACTGCCTTAAAAATAATTTTATATTTTTTAAACCCAACAGCTTGTTTTATTCTCAAAATAACACCGGAAAAGGGACCTCCTTTAATTATAGTATATTTAGATTCTCGAGAATGACTGAAAAAGAGTAGGAAAATTTTAAAAAATTAGAGAATGGTAGGGGAAGCGTTTAACTAATAGCGGGGTTGTCAGTAGTGTTAGGCACCGTTAGGTACTACTACGGACTCCCAAAAGTATTGACTCGGTATTTTTCGTTACTTTTCGGTACCTCCGGTATTGGTATTGGAAAAATGCTGCCTTACACAAGTTGTCAATATGAAATCAGAAAAGAAGGACAACTTTACATATTTCTATGGAAATCGGAAGGAAATGCCCCTATCCCGTTCTAAGATATTCCCAAATACTTTAAAAATTAAAACTTTTATTTTAAAATTTTTTTTTATATTTCTCATCCTTTCTTAATTTCTTAAAAATAAAAGCAAAGCAAAAGCTAAATAATAAAGCTATATTTGCGGACACTATCAAACTTTTTAGATTATAAAAATGAAGGTTTATTGATAAATTAAGGTCATATTATCTAGTTTAAGTTTGTCCGCAAATATTTTGCGGACAAAAATGTCAAACAAAAATTGTCCGCAATTTTTGTCCGCAAATTTTTAAAGCAGAAATATTTTTAGAAATTAATTTAATATTTAATTAAAAGTCTCCACCAGTTCGTCGTCGTTCATCCCTTCTATTTTCATGTAGCATTTTTCGATTTGCACCCTTTAAAAATTTTTAAGTAGAAACAAAAAATAAAGCATAATTAAAAATTAAAAAAGCAAAAAGGCAAAAATAAGCAGAAAAAATAGAAAAAAGGCAAAAAAGGATAGAAAGGAATGAGAAATATTTTTAGAAAATTAAAAAAATTTTATTTTATTTTTTCTTCATTTATTTTACCTGCACTTCCATTACTTCCATTATTTTTTCTTCTGTGGGCACGTTTATCTTCATCTCGTAATTTTCTTTCTGCTCCCTAATAATTTTATTTAAAAAGATCAGAATTATTAAGAAAATACATAAATGTCAGAATTATTAATTTTTAGAATTTTTCAGAATTTAATAAATCAGAATTTATTAGGATTTTGTAAAGAAAATAGAGAAAATATAATTAAATTATGAGAGAGACAAAGAGAGTGAACGAAAAAATTTTTTTCAAAAAAATTTTTTTTACCTTATCACAAAACACTTTAATTTGACAATAGCCTCTATGAAAAGGAATTTTTGAATCAGATTGATCATCATAAGTATCTATTTGGACATGAAGTGGAAGTCCTTTAACCCCTTTTTGGGTAGAAAAATCAGTTGAAAGACATTGCACAGCTATGCTGACCTTAAAAATGTTTTTAAAAAATTTTAAAAATTCGAAAAAAAATTTAAACAATTTTTAAATTAAGTAAAAATAATTAGGAAATCTTAAACAACCAAAATAAATAAGAGAAAAAAGGATTCCAGCTAGCCGGATTCGAACCAGCGACATCAGGATTACTTCGTATACTCTACAGTCCCACGCTCTACCAACTGAGCTATAGCTGGACATGAGAGGGAACTTTTTAAAAATGGCTATATATTTTTCTCTTCTTCTCTTTTAAATTATTTTGAGGAAATTACGGGAAATTATTTTTTTGAATTGATAAAAAATAAAATTTAAAAAATTATAAAAATTATTTTTCTATCAAAAAAAATTTTTTTTTATTAAAAAATAATTTTTTAAAAATTTTTTTCAAAACAGACTTTAGGCCCAGGTTGTTCCCCAGGCGTCCAACAAAATTGGACAGCATTATGGGCAATTTCATCAAAATTTCCCCCAATAGCCCCCATAGAGTTTTTTGCATCAATTTCAATTATGCGTTGTTTAGGGGAATGTTGGCGTTTATACCAAACTAGCCAAGTTCTTAATTCTTCTTCAAATGATTTATCTTCTCGAAATACTATTATTATTTGGCTCTTTAAAAATTAAATAATTATTTTGAAATTTTTTAAAGAAATTTTGCATGAAAATTTTTTTGATTTCTTGTAAAAATTCCCATTTAAAAAATAATTGCTTTTAAAATAAAATGACATCAATTTCAAAGAGAATTTCACATTAATTTTTTTAATAAGGTCATTTAAAATTATGGGGGTGACTGGTGATCCGATACATCCTTGGCTTGGTCCATGGTACTTTATTTGGACTATAACTCTTTAAAAAAGCAAAAAACCCTTTTTTGAAATCTCCAAGTTAACGGATTATTTTTCTTAATTGAACCCTTTAAATCCTAATTAATTTAAGAAAGTTAATACTTGATAAATGACAAAAATTTCAATTTTTACAATTAATCCGTCTATATATTTTAAAAGAATGATCAAACCAAAATGAGCCTGTTAGAAAAAATAACAAGCAAAGTCAGAGCTTTCGATTGGTATATAACTTGTTTGGAATGGTTGGATATTAAAAAAAGTTATGGATTAAAAAAGAGCTGTGACCCTTAAGTTTAGAAGGGGTATTGCAAGAATTTTTTTTGAAATTAATTTTTATTAAATTAAAAACTAATTTACCCTAACAGTCATTCCTTTAAGAGGACACCGTAAATCAAGAATATAATCAAAAGAAACAGTATAAAATTGGCCTTTGTTGACATATGTCCTTTAAAATTTAATAAGTTTATATTTTTGAATTGCTTTTCTTGGCCATTACTAAGAGTTAAATAAAATTCCCTAGAAAATTTTTATGTCTTAAAATCAGTAAGCTGAAGGGAACATATGGCCAAGATTAAAATTATCTTTAATCCGGATGATGTCTGAAATCTGAACCTAAAGAACCCTAAAAACCCGAATATCAAATCAAACATTTCCCCCAAATAATTAAAAATCATATTATTTTTAAAAGTTGTTCCTTTACATTCTATCATCTTCTTTCCTAATAGATGTAGAGATCGGTGCTTCAAGTGTATATTGAAAGCCCAATTGATTATCTAATTTTGGGATACACACAGGAATTGATTGTTCTCTAGATTCATGTACTCGTTGCAACTGTGCTGATTGATTCTTTAAATTAAAAATATTTTTGAGAAAAATTTAATGTAAAGATAGGGTTTATAATATTCTCAAGTCAAACTGGCGATTTAAGATTTCCAAAAAATTTTCCAGAACAAATTGGATACATGTCTCTATATCTCCATACAATTAAGAAACAAGGTGGGCTGGAAGGAACACAGTCTTGGGATAAATTTTAGCCGGGTAAAAAGGGTAGTAGTGGATATCTGAATCATGTTATTGTGGCCATCTAAGATCCAAGATCTTCTAAAATCTCAGTTATATGGTTATTGATATAGCAAAGGAGATAAGTTAGAGATTCTTGCCATTTCTATTAAAATTCCAAAAAAAAACCCCTACAGATTCAGCACTACTCCTTTGTTCTCTCTGCCTATTTTGTTGTTGTTGACTTTGTTGTTGTTGGAGTATAAGGGCATGATTGAGGGTATCTTGTCCGGTATTATCTCCGTGATGTTGGTGAATAACTGAAGAATGTTGTTGCTGTGAAGGTACGAGAACACCTGCTGAGGATAATGATACTGGGCCGAAGAATTCGTGTAACTGCTGAAAAAGGAAGGGATTTAGAAAGGCACGAGAAGTGAGTACCACAGGAATGTGAATGAATTGGATTATAAATTTAAGAAAATAAGAAAAGTGTGATGACTCTGGAATAAGACAAGAATGCCTCCCAGCCTACTGCATTCTTGTCTTATTCCAGAGTAAAGAACACAGTAGGGTGGAAGGAACACAGTAGGGTGGAAGGAACATAGTAAGGTGGAAGGAAATAGTAGGTTGGAAGGAACATAGTAGGGTGGAAGGAACATAGTAGGGTGGAAGGAACATAAGAGGCAATAGGTAAAATGAAGCATAGTCGGTTGTAAGGTACATATGGAATAAACTGGTAGGAACATAGTAAGATTGGGGTAGTTAAAAGAGATCAGGATAATGAAAATCCCTGACAACCATAATCGGCTTAAATTAAAAAATAAGCATATAAACCTGTTTTGCCTGTTCCAACAAGAGTTCTTGTCCAATACCAGAATCTACAGGAGAAAGAAGTGCAACACCTCCTCCAACTTCATCTCCATTATTATTGCCATTATTTTTGTAAAGTAAGATTCTTTGTTGTTGTTGATCAATGAGGGAATTGCCACAATTATCTAGTTGATTTAAATAACCTAATTGTTGTTGTTGTTGTTGATGTAGATGAAGTTGTTGTTGTTGTTGATGGTGTTGATTGTGATGGTGAAGAGTATTATAGGACATATAAGGCCAATCCTAAGAAGGAAACATTAAATTTTAATAAAATTATCTGAAGAGAACATTAGGTAGTCTGAAGGGTACATTTGGTAGTCCGAAGGGAACATGGGATAGTTCGAAAGGGAACATGGGATATATCGAAAGGAATATTAGATAGTAGGCTGAGGGGAATACGTATTGGGTAGTCCGAAGGGATCATTTAGGTGTTCTGAAGGGAGCCTTGGTTAGTCTGTGGGAGCATTGGGTAGTCTAGAGTGAACATTAGATAATCCGAAGTGGGCAATTTGAACGGTACATTAAAGGAGAATACTGAAGGAATGGAACATCTGAGATAATTAATGTGCTACTGGATTCAGAATACTTTTCCCAAATTTAGTTTTAGTTACTTGGTGTTGTTGCCCTCCTCCTCCACCACCTAGAGCAACAACTGCTGATGTAGCTGTTGGCTGAAGCAACGAATTTGTAGATTGTTGTTGTTGTATAGATTGGGGATATGAGGAAGTAGCAGAAGCTGCTGAACCAACATTTAAATATTCATAATAAGGAGAATACGAATTTTTTGATGAATTATTGACTGAATTCATTGAAGAATAATAATGTTCTAATTGTGTTGACCCTACAGACATTTTGCCGAGGTTCTAGAAAAAAATTTTTAATGTGAAATATTTTTTTTAAATTATAAGGTCAGTATTACTCTTTTTCTTGAACAAAGAAAAATGTAGGGAATTTCAAATTAGAGGGGATAGGGAAGGCGTAGGCCTAGTCAATCAACAGACTTGAGTGTTTGATCGAGAAGATTAAATATATTCTATGGTTGATATTACGGAGCGGGGGCTGGGCTTGCGAGGAACGGGGGGTTTTCCCGGGGGAGAGGTACGGGGAACGGGGGGTTTCACCGAGGGAGAAGTAGGGGGAACGGGGACTCTGGGGGGAGACCTCTCCCGCCCCGGTGTATTCCCTTCCCAGGACGAAACCTAATATATTCGATAGTGATTCTGATCTCGATTCAAACTTCAATTAATATTTTGGGGTTCATTATTAGAGAGGCTTTTTCTGATTATTTAAATAAGTCATTTTAAAATTTTTATGGAGTTTTCCCCGAAATAAAAAATTTTTTATAGGGATACTTTTTGTTTTCAATTACTTTAAAAACTAATAAATAAAGTTGGGTATATTCTCCTATAAATTTAATTTTCTCCTTTAAAATTTATTTTAATCAATCAAATAATTAATTAATTTCCAATATAATTTTTTAACTAAATTTTAAAAAATTTAAATTTATTATTTTCTCAATTTTTTTAAATTTTTTTCTCAACTTCCAAAAAAAATTTTTTTTATTAAATTTATTTTGGCCCATTAAAAATTAAAAAAATTTTTTTTGAGTAGAGAAAAGGAATTTTTTTAAAACATTAAAATCACATCCGCCGGAGGCACTTATTTGAAGAAAAATTTAAAAATAAAAAAAAAGAAAAAAATAATTCGCTCCCCTAAGAAACTTAAAAGTAAATTGTGAACACATTCAATAGAACACAACAAACGTTGTCTCTCTCATTTTTGTGTACTATTTCTCTTTCTTTGCGCAAACAATTTATTTGCGCAACAAAACAACAAAATAATAAATAGAAAAAAATATTTTTACGTGACAGAAAATATTTTTTTTGTTATTTTTAATAATAAATAGAAAGAAAAGCAATGAAAAATGTATGAAAAAATATTTTTTGGAAATAAATAAATTAGTTACTTGTAAACATGGGTGTGTGTTGGATAAGGGTGCAAGTTCAATAGGTTCTTGTTTAGGAGAAAAGTCCATTAACATTTGGCTACGGCCTGGAGGTGCTGTTTTTATTACCTGAATTTAGTAAATTAAAACAGTTTATGTGGTGGTTTAGAGGGAATATTGGAACATAACACTAGAAAGTCGAACGGGAACATTGGATAGCCTGAAGGGACCATAGGTAGTCGAAAGGGAACATTGGATAGTCCGAAGGGAACATTGGATAGTCCGAAGGGAACATTGGATAGTCCGAAGGGAACATTGTATAGTCCGAAGGGAACATTGGATAGTCCGAAGGGAACATTGGATAGTCCGAAAGGAACATTAGGTGTTCTGAAGGGAACATTAGAATAATTAAAAAGGAATACAGGAATTGCAGGGAGAAATGGAGATAAGATCGAGTGATTGGAAGGGGAGAGAACAAAGCTATTTCAAAATATCCACGGTAAATTACGGCAAAAGTTAACAAACCCCATCTGTTTAATTATAAATCCAATCTACTTACTGAACTTTGTTGTACTCCAGAATTGGTTGCTTCAACAGGTAAAAACATCATTGTCTGCCCTCCATTTCCAGCATTAATAACACTATTAGAATTATTATGTTCATAGCCATTATTATTGCTTGTATTTCCATTGCTAGTTCCGGCCGTTGTTGTTGATGAACCGTATTTCATACGGCTAAACGAATTTTTGTAAGAGATCGACAACTATTCTAAAAATTATGATATGGGATAAATTACAAAATTTTAACGCTAATAAGGAAATAAACATAGAATTAGTAAAATGGGAGGCAAATCTGAAGGGAGATATTGGATAGTCTGATAGGTAGTCCGTAGGGGACATAGGTAGTCCGAAGGGGACATAGGTAGTCTGAAGGGGACACATGTAGTCCGAAGGGGACATAGGTAGTCTGAAGGGGACATAGGTAGTCTGAAGGGGACATAGGTAGTCTGAAGGGGACATAGGTAGTCTGAAGGGGACATAGGTAGTCCGAAGGGGACATTAGTAGAGTTGGACAGACTGAAGGGCAGGATTAATTTTTAATATTACCTATTTAACTCAAAAACTAAAAAATAGACTATGAAAAATCAATTTTCCAATTAAATTTTCATTTAAAAATCTAAAAAATTCTCAAATTTTAATCATTAATTGAAGTACTAATCATTATTAATTCATTTCCCCTAAAATATTTAAGAGTTCGCTAAACTTTCATTTATTTTTTTTATTGATTCCTTGTTTTTTTTCTTCAAATGTTTTTCTGATTATTCAAACATTGTTTTGGCAAATTGTGTTGTTGTTTTTGTTCATTTTTGTTTTTCTTCTTTTTCATGTTGGTAAACAATGTTTCTACTAAAAATATTCTTTTGTTTTATCTTTGATTGTTGTTGTTTTTATTGTTTTTGATAAACAAAACATCGAAAACAACAACCTAAACAAAATGTTTTAATGATGTTTTGTTGTTTTTGTTTGTTGTTTTTGTTGTTTTGTTTTGTTGTTCATGTTTGTTTGTTCCAAGTTTTTTTCTTATTTTTTCATTTATCCAACAAAACATGTTGAGAAACATTTTAAAAACATCTGATTAAAAACCTCAAAACATTTTATCAAAACATTTTTTGTTTTATGTTGTTTCATTTTCAAGTTTTCTTCTTTCTTCATCTTTATAAACCTCCCAAAAACTCGTTATATTTTTTAAATAAATTTTAAAATTTTTTTCTTCCTGTTCTTTCCTTCCCCTTTTAATCTTGTTTATAAATATTGGGTCATTCGAAGGTCGTTCTGCTACATATTTATTTGGGAGAAACACGAGGACACACACAAAAACAAGTTGTTGTTGTTGTTGGGGAAAGAATGTTTTTATATAAAAGTTGTTTTGTTTTTGTTGAGGGGGAAGCCTGTTTATTTTAAATTGTTTGTATTGAGGTTTATTTAGAAGAAGTGGTTTTAGTTGTTTTGTTGTTGCCTGTTTAGTAAGACAAAAACAGGGTTTATATATGTAAATGTTGCGCAGGTGAAGGACCGGATAGCCAAATTGTAAACAAGTAGGAATATGAAGAAAAAAATGACGAGAAAATTTTTTAAATTTAAAGGGAAAATATACCCGAAAATATTTATGTTATCCCTATTTTAAGCCAAAAATTCAGGAATAATTTCTTGGCATTTTCTCTTTGTTCTCTTATAAAACCCCAATAGTTTCTGATCATAAACGTTTATCCAGAACTGAGACCCTCATAAATAGATATTAAAATTTTAAAAACACATAGACGAATACTGATTTGAGTAGTCTAAACGGCCCTTTAATGACCTCATTACTATGATTTTTTAATTTTGGTTTTTAAGGCCTTGAAGAAGAGGAAGGACAACCATAGCTTCAAGTAAGCTTGAAGACAAGCTTCACCCTTGGACATTAATTTTTTTCTAATTCATTGACATTTACAATAATTTTTTCTAGAAATCTTCACCTATATTTCACACATTTTATTTATTAAAAAACAACTTTTCACTAATTTCCCTTTCACTAACCCTCTAATAACGTGTAAACTAAATTGCAAAACCTGAACAAGTTGGCAGTTACTAAAGGAAAAGTCAAGTCCAGTTTTGCCTCCCCTTAATTTTGCGCGCCATTTTAGAGTCAACTACTATATACTTGCTTTTATCAAAAGAGGGAAAAAAGGAAGAAAAAAGGAGGGGGAAGGGGGGAAGAGACCTGTCCGGCCGGAGAAGGACAACCACAACAACCAGTACAACGGGTAAAACAGAACACTATTTTATACAAGGAAAGGACTTGCTTGGGCATATAAAAATAAATAAATAAAAATAAAAATACGGGTTACAAACAGGCTGTCTCAAGGAAAAGTACGAAGAAAGGAAGAAAAATGAAGGGAAGAAAAAGGGCGGAGGAATATGTGGAAGAAAAAGACAAGTGGAAGGGTGGGTGGGGAGAAGAGAGTTAGTTGAAGAAGGGAGAAGGGGGGGGGGTGGTAGTTGCATGAATTTTTACAAAGGAAGAGCTGTTCTCCTCCCATTACACACACACATTCCCTCATATATAAAACAAGACCGCGCAAAGGACCGGCCCTTTTAGTCTTTCCGCGATGACGAAGAACAGGAGAGGAATAAAAAAAAAGAATTTTTCTAGAAAAAAAGGTTCTGTGCTTAGATCTGTTGGTTGTGTGACAGCCGGTTATTTTTTTTAAAGCTAATGGGCATTCTGTGTGTGTGATTAAAAGAATGGAAGAGGGAGGGGAAGAGATTTGGATGTGCCGATTATAATATTTTTTGTTTGATATTTGGCGCCAAAGATAAAAGAAAGAGATTGAAAATATGGAAGGATTAATATTCGAAAAAAGCAAAAAGAAAATTGGAGACGGATTTGAGAGAGAAGCAGAAAGAAATTTGTGGAAATTGGGGACGGTAATGATGCGGATCGGTGATCTACACACAATGGGGAGCCGTAAATTTATTTAAAGGAAGCGAAAAAATTTGGGAAGAAGGATTGGGGGATTTGGGGCAAGGGATTGGCGAACATGCAAAGAACGATAGCCAGAGGGGATTGATGGGTAGAGGGTCTATCAAAGGGATAAAAAGGGTCCATTAATCGCGCCCAACAGCACAAAATCGCCAAAAACCAGTCAGCCGATAAGCGACCAAAATCCGTCCACCATTCCCACTCTCTCTCCTTTTCATTCCTGCCCCCAAAACAGAAGCAAAGCTAGTATACGAAGAAACAACCCCCTTTAGCCCTTACTTCTAGCCAGTCGTACCACCAACTGATCATTAAAAAGGGTTGGGCTCTCTCTTCGTCCAACCGGCGATTTTTGGGGAAAATTGTTGAGATGGAGAGGTGTGCGCCCGCGCAAGTTAAAAAGAGAAGGGATAAATTGAGAATGCATGGAAGGGATTGAAGTAAAAATAGTTAGTCAGAGAGGAATAGTAAAAAGTAGAAGAAAAAAAAAGTATAAAATATATATGGGCAACAACTTTTGCGCAGCAACAGAAAAAAAATTTTTTCATTCAGTCAAGTGGAAATTTTTATAAGAAAGGAGAAGGGATTGAAGGAGTGTAAAGAAGAGTGATTTCGTCTTGACTCTCTCTTCAAAATACCCAAAAAAACTTTTTTTAACTGGCTGGTTGTGTTTGCTATTTTTATTTCTTTACTTGGTTGCCTCCAGCAGTGCCGCGCAAATTATTTTGTGATAGATTTTGAAAAGGTATGCGCAAAAGAAAAAAGATTTTTTATTTGGGTATCTACATATACGCCTTTTGGATTTTCTTTAAAATTTGAAAAAGAAGGAGATTATTGGAGAATGATTGGGGATATATTGGGGGGAATGATATGTATATAAATATTTTTAAAAGAAAAAATCAATAGGGGGACTTTAATAAAAAAATTTTTTTAATTTTTCAAGGAGGATTTTAAAATAAGCCTGTAGGGACTAGGATTGACAGAAAACACAATCTTCCAAATTTTGGGAATCGTAACTCGGTTTGGTAAGATTTCTTTGGTAGATACATACGATGGTTAGTTAGCTTCTACATATTTTCCTCTCCTTCTCAGGTGTTTTGTTTTCCCCTCCCTCCCATTCTAACAAAAATTTTCTGGAAAAATAATTATTTTAGCCCTTTAGTGATCGAAGCTGAAGGCGAAGATTTAATAGTAGGAGAAGCAAAACACTCCTTTGAAATTTTTTCGTTTTCCAGAAAAATCCAAAATTTTTTTGCTTCTTTTAAAGATCCTTTAAAAATCCTTTCCCCAAAAATTTCCAAAAAATTTTTTTATTTGCCTCAAGTTGTGTACTTTTCCCAATTTTTCTCTTCTAATTTTTTTCGTCCCTCTACCTATCCGCAACTAATTTTCTTTTATTCTTTTCTCAATTTTTTATCTTAAGAATAAAGAAGAAAGAGAAGAATATAAAAACTAAGAAAAAATCTTGTTAAGTACATAAAGGACTGTCAGAATTGGACACAAAAAAGAAGGGTATAGATAGGTTGCGCGAAAGTATGTATTTCTCTCACTTCAAATTTTTTCAGTTGATGGATGGGCGGGGGAATAAAAGGGAAAAATAATAAAAGTGGACAAAAAGGGACAGAAAAGAAAAAAATTTTAAATTTTTCAAAAATTTTTTTCTAAATAAAAAAATTTTCCACAAATTTTTTCAATTTCAAAATTTTTTCTAAAAAATCTTCAGGTATTTTTCGATAATTCAAAGTGAATGATAATTAATTTTTTATGTGCTTATACCTAGTTCTGTTAACTCAAGAGTTTCAATTTTCTTACAATTATTTTCGATAATACATATTTTTTAATTATTTTTTTAAATTTTTATTTAAAAAAAGATTTTGTTTAAAAGTATCTAAATTAGTTTGAATTTTTTAATTTTTTTTCAACAGCAACTTATTGAACATTAATTTAATGTAAAATTAACTTTAATTTTTTCTTTTTTAAAACAACAAATAACTAAATGTTTGTTTCCTATAGACAATTTTTGGATTTTCACTTCTAAAATAAAAATTAAAAATCGAAAAAAATTGAAAAACAAATTAGTCAACCTTTCTAATAAATATACAAAACACCCCTTAGGACCAAATCTGACACATTAAGAGAAGCAATATTTAGTAGGAGATAAATCAGTAGGGATTGGTCAAATCAAAGCTTTGATCAAATACTTCAAAAGCTCTTTGATTCAAATTAACACCAACAATTTCTGCTTGATTCGCCATTATTTTCAGGTTATGAAAAGATATTTTAAGTTGACATTTCGATTAAAATTTTTCTAAATTTTTTTTTGAAAATCAAAAATTTTTCTAAACAAATTTTATTTCAAATTTCTCTCTCTCCCTATCCTTCCTTTCCTCTTTCAAAAATTCCAACCAACCAATCCACACATTTTCTTTTCTAAAATTTGTTTTTTTTTCTCCACAACAGCGCAACTCAAGTATAAAATTAAAGAAAAAATAAAATAAAACAACGTAAAAGACGTAAAAATAAATTTATTTTTATTTTTGTTGTTGTGGAAAAGAAGGTTTTGATGATTGCGCGTAATTAATGATCGATATAAAATATATCAATAAATTAAATTTAAAGAAAAAAATTTTATTAAGGATTTGAATGAAGAAAATTATTTTTAGGGGGGTTTTAATTTTATAATTAACCCTCCTTTTTAATGGACCACCGTAAATGTTTGAATAATTGCACTGGGTACTTATTGTTTTGACCTTTCGCTGGAGAGGGCAATTAATCAAGAGGATCAAGAGGAGTCGACAAAACAGAAGTCTGTGGCGAGGTTTGCAGGATGGAACAACATTTGCGTACAAATATCTGCAAAGCCTTTATGTATTTTAAAGCTTCTATGCATAATTTAAAGGAGTACTAAATATAACCTAATATGGTATGTATTCGTAGGCCATAGTTCAGGACAAGACCCAGTGATAGCTGCTCCAGTTTCATATGGTTTTGTTTTGTCCGCAAATGTCGGTTCTCAGGAGTGTTCGCAAATGATGGACAAACACTACATATTTTTTCAGATTTAATATTTAAAAAATTTAAAAATATTTATTTATATAATTTTATATTTATTTTATTTAAATTCTCCAATAAATAATTTAAAAAATATTTTTTTAAATAAATAAAAATAATTATCTAGTACGAATTCTAAAAAATATATTTTTATTTTTTTCAAAAATTTCCCTTCATTTTTAATGTCCCCAAATCCAATTATATTTTGTTGCTCCAATTTTTTATTTGTTGTTTACAGCTCAAATAAAAAAGGATTCTTTCAATTCTTCTATTTGTGCGCGAAAAAAAGTCCATTGTGGGACAATTAAATAAAAAAGGTCAGAGAAAGAAGAAATAGTGTAGAGTGTAGTGTTAATTTGGAGAGAAAAAGAAAAATAAATATTGAGTTATTTAATTTAGTTCTTTTTTCTTTTACCGATTGACCATTATATCTATCGAGAGGACCGGATTTGACTTAAAAATAAATTTGTGTTAGTTTCTGCGAGAGAAGTGTCCGCGAATTGGAGATTTTTTTGAGTTCTTTTGTGAAAAAAATTTTTTTCTTTGTCCTAAAAAATTCTTTTTTAAAAAATTTATTCACAAAAAATTCTATTTAAAGCTAAAAATAAATTTGTAACACAAAAATTAATTTTTAAAAAATATGAGAAAAAATTAGTGGAGAATAAATGAAATAAAAAATATAATTTTGAAGGAATTTTGGAGGATTTTGAGGGATTTTAGGTTGGATACAACGACCAAAAAACTTAATGAATACAGCAGAATCCCTCTGTTACGGATCCTTTCTCTCAAGTCACCTCGTTATTATGTTTGCTTAATTAGGTCTGGAGGGGTGTATTTTGGCCTTACTTGACTCCCCCTCCTCCTCCCCCGACTTCTTTCCCTCTAATGTCAGCAAATTTCGCCATAGTGGAATGTCCTTAAAGAGAGATTCAACTGTAATTAAATAGAGAGTTTAATTAGTTTTGGTCGCCTATAGTGAATAAAAGACAAAAATAAATTTAAAATATATATAGACATTTGTTTATAGACAAGTATCTTCTCGATTCTGAAAATCTTTCGATCTTTGGAACCGAGAAAGTGTTATTAATTATTAAGAGGAGAATTAAATAATTACACATTTGTAAGAATATATTTTTAAAGTAATTAAAATAAAATTCAAAATTCTTCTTTTTTAGATCATCAATAAATTGAATAATAAAAATAATATTTAAAAAATGATTGTTTATAAATCTTCCATATGTCCATAAGAACTAGAAAAAAATTTTAAAAAATAATTTTTATTTTGAATTAAAATTTAAATTTAGACTTTGAACGTTTCTCAATTAATTTATTAAAAATTTAATTTTCGAAAAAAAATTTTTTTTTATAATTTTAAATTTATTTTTCTTAAAATATATTAAAACAAATTAATTATTAGTCATCGAAAAATTCTTTTAAAATAAGTTACTAATAAATAAATATTTCTTTGACGTATTTCTCAATTTATTGATAAACAAATAAATTAACTAATTATTTAACTTAATTTTTTATTTATTTATTAAAAAAATTACCTTAAAAGTCTTTTGTAAAGAGCAGATGCTATAAACCGTGGATAACTGTCCCGTTGCATTAATGTGTATATCTGAATAGGGGAAAGTTTATTGAAGGATATTTTAATTTTTAATCAAATACAAAATTAGAGTTTATTCTCAAGAATCCTAATTTTTGATATAATCGAAAGTTTTTTAAGGACTTTTTCACTCAAAGTTCATCTAGATAATACGACCAAATCTCACAAAATTAGAAAACCCTCAATTTTAAATATTTCACAATTTGTTTGACCACGTGGGAGAGATGCCTACTTCAAGGAATTTTTTCCCTAAAGGTGTATTTAATATCGAGGTTCGACTATATAAAATATAATTGATTTAATTAAGAAATATTTTTAAAAATTAATTCCTCTAACCTGATTCTGTGCTTCATCAAAAGTATGTGAAGAAGGGTGGACCATATTTTGATTAATAATTTCGCGAACACGAGAATCTAGAGAAACTTCTTTTGGGGAGAGAATTGAAATAAAATCCTCATAGATTATACGTGCCTTTAAAAATTAAAAAATGATATTATTTTTAAATTTAAAAATATGGTGAATATAAAAAAATAAATATGTCAGGGATAATCGGAAGAAATCGAAAGATCTCCATTTAGAAAACTCAGTTTAATATTTTATTTGATTGCCCATCTGATTAAGGGAGAAGCAATTCGATGCATTTCATTATAAAATAGGTTTTTCTATAAATATGTAACTAATCAGGTGTGTCCCCAAAATATTAAAAATACTTTTTTTAATTTAAAAAAACATATAAAAATCTCTTGGAAAATTCTCGGGAATTTTTAAAAATTATTTTAAAATTATTTTTACCTTTTCTTCAATTTTTTCTGTATTTTTCTCTCTTTTTAACTCCTCACAAGCTTGCCTTAAAAATTAATTTTCAAAAAAATATTTCAATAAATTCCCTACCAAAACAATATATTCTCGTCACTATATTCACTTTTTAAAAATTCAGCAAAATATTTCTGTCCATGTTTATTTTTCATTAAACGATCGAAATTAACTCCCCAAGAAGCTACTTCTTCAAATGTTGTTCTAAATTAAATTAAATTAAAAACATGTTTTCGTAATGTTTTAAACAAACTTGTCATCAAATTCTAAATTAGAAACACCCCCAATTCCATCAGAACCAATTCTGAAGTCATGAAGTCTGTTAATTGGAATTTTTATTTTTAAAAATTTTGATTAATTTCGAATTAGGTATTTAATAATTTTTTTTAAATTTATTTTAAAATTTTTTTACTTAATATTTAATATTTTTTGTACAATTAAAAAGGATTATTCTAATTAAAGGGACACAAAACATCGAGAACAAGAAACACAAAAACATCGAGTTTTATTGATGTTTGACTCACACCTATCACAAAAAGTTGATGTTTTTGTGATGTTTTTATAAAAATGTTTTTGCGCTCAACAAAATTAATTCATGTTTTGTTGCAAACATTTAAGGAAACATTTCAAAAAAACATTTAGATTTTAATTGTTTGTTTTGTTTTGTTCGTTTCAATTTTTAATTATTTTTATCAAAACAAACAACAAAAACATTTTTAATTAATTAATTAATTAATTAATTAATTAAATTTCCAATTTATTCATTTAATTAACCAAAGCTCAAAATTAAAAAAAAATATTTTTTCCAAACAAAAAGGAAACAAAAGATAATAAGCTATGTTTTTAATTTATGGGAAAACAATTATAAATATATTTTTTAATATTAAGTAAAATAATACTTTATATACTATTTTCTGTGACGATAAAGCCAAAAAGATTAAAGAATATATAATCCCTTGTTTGTTTAAACTTTGGGGGAAAAATATTTTTTCGATAATTTTTGTGGTATTTTTTAAAAATTAATTAAAATTACCCATGATCTCCTCCCATAAAAGAACAATTACAAGGCAACAATTTCAACAACATTTGGCCTACAGAAAAAGATGGAGAATTAGATGATTTGTTAATATTGTTTTGTTTTAATTCACTGTTTTGATTATTTTGTTGTTTTTCTTGTTGTTGGGAAGTTTGATTGTTGTTGTTGTTTTCTGATGTTTGTTTGTTGTTAGTTGAGTTTTCTTTTGTTTTGTTGATAATAACTTTAATGAACAAAACATGTTTTAAATGTTTTTAGTATTTTAATGTTTTTGTGTTTTTCAAGTTTTTTGTGTTTTTGTGTTTTTAATGTTTGTGTTTTTCGTGTTTATTTTTAATTCTGATTTTTATTGTATTTTTTGTTCAGTATTTTCTATTTCTGATTTTGTATTTTTAATTTTGTCTTTTCGTATTTTTTTGTTTCTGATTTTTTATATTTTTATTATTCTGATTTTATTTAGTTTTGCTTCATGTTTGTTGTATTTTTGCTTTAATTCTGATTTTTGTATTTTCTTGTATTTTTCAGAATTTTTTGTATTTTTAAAAACATTATTTACCCAATTCTATAGTAGTCTTTCCTTCAGAACAATTTTCAGTTAACCCTTCAGCAGTTAAACCTCTTTTTGGTAATTCTACAGGTGGAACAGAAACTACTGGAGGAAGTGATGGAGAAGGTTTGTAAACTCCAATTGCTGTTTGTGTAACTGTTGTCTCAATGTTTTTAAGCAGTTTTTAATTACTGCTTTAATTTTGAAGAAATTTTGTTGTCTTTTTATTCAAAATTTTTTAATTTACAGAAATTTTTAAAAATGTTGTTAATAATTAGTAGCAGTAAACAATTTTGTTTAATTTGCAATAAATTATTGAATCTATTAAATTTAATCAATTTAAACAGAAAAACATGTTTTAGCAATCAAAAACATGTTTTAAATATTTTTTCTTATTGAAATGTGTTTTAAATGTTTTTGTTGTTTCTGTTTTTATTTTTAATTCTGATTTTTTTGTATTTTTTGTTTTTCTGATTTTGTATTTCTGTATTTCTGTTTCAGATTGTATTTTTGTTTTTCTGCTTCTGACTTTTTTTCAGAAGTGGAAAAACAAAAATACAATCTGAAACAGAATAACTAATTTTAAATAAATAAGGTTTTTTAATTTCTGATGTTTTGCTTCAAGCTTCAAAGATTGTCTTAAAAATGTCAGAAACATGCCAAATAATATTAAAATTAATCATAAAATATATAATTAAATTTAAATAAAAAATTAAAAATCTAACTTTAAATAATTTTATAAATAATTATGAATAAATAAAATAAAATTCCGCGCGCTTCAACAAGTTTTTGCCAAGTAAAAGAATGAAGAACGTTTGGCTGGTGGGGGCTCTTTTTGTCATATGCTTCTCTTATATGGAAAAAAGTAAAAATAATAGAGAGAGAAAAAAACTTTATTGTCGTCTATTTTACGTTTCCATGCATTTACATTTTTTGCCATATTATATTTCCATGCCAGCTGTATTGACAGAAGGCCTCATTTAAAAAATATTTTTTTTGGTTGTGAGGGAATTTTTTTGTTGTTTGTGGAAAAGCATGGAAGGAAATGAAGGTTATCACTACCCGGCTGGAATGCTTAAATGGAGCAGAGAATTTTGGGAATATATTAGAGAAATGAAAGGTAAATAAAATAATTGGAGGACAAAAAATATTTTTTCTCTGTTTCCCCTAGCGTAATTTCACATACTAACGTTTAAGCGAGTGCTTGTAAATTAGCCAAAAGAGAAGCTAGAGGCATAAAATTTTGCATAGAAATGAATAATAGAGTTAACTATTTTCTCTAAAAATTTCAGAATTTTTGGTGTTGTTTGGGAAAAATTATAGACAAAAATTTGTTGATTTTGTCCAAAAATGCCAATTTTATCAAGCTTTTGGCCCATAACTTTTCCTTTACTAAACCAAAAATTCTGAAATTTTTAGAGGAGTTAGATAACACTATCAAGTACATCCACGCAAAATTTGACGGTTCTAGGACCTCAATAAGTAATTTTGAAAAATTCAAATTTTGACGTGGTTCGCGTCCACCTCTCTTAGATTTATCTGTTATATTAATTATTTTATTTAAATTTATGGTAACATTAAAAATAAAAATATATAAAGGAAAAACGTCGTCTACTAACAATTAACAAACACATTTTTTAGTGCCAGTTTGGCCATAAGTCGAGAGATAATAAGAAGAACAAAAAATGAAATAAGTGAAGGAACATCCCTCATTAAAGGAATGAGGGGAAAAGTAAATTATAATAAAATATAAAATTATGCCCTATAGAAAAAGAAACCTTAGTTGGGGATAAGCCTGAAATAAGCTTCTTTATAAAAAAAATTTTTCTATAGGTATAGGATACTTTAATTAATTAATTAAATTCTCTTATATGTATGTAGGTATCTAATAAATTCTTTTAAAAATTTTTTTAATATTTTAAATCTCTATTTTAACTCAGTCTACTTAAAAATTAATTTAAAAATAATTTAAAAATTAAAATTAAATAAAGTAAAGCAGCTGGGCTATAGCTATTTCTCTCCTTTAGCTAATACAAAAAGGTAATCGGCGGCTGGGAGCGAACCAGCATCTTCAGTAGACGGACTGATGTGGTAGCCATTACATCATTCCGCCTACTGCATAGCCTTAGGAATTAAATAGCTATATGCTTTACAATAATTATTGAAATCATTTGAAGACTTAAAGGTCTACGGGATTAGACGGAATAAAAATTTTTGGAAATAAATTCCTTCAGGATAGAATAATCTTAAAATTTCTACATTTAATTTAAAAAATTAATTTTTTAAATTAAATTAATTAAAAAATAAATTTAAAATTAAATAGAGCCGAAAAATATAAATTTATTTCGATTAGACACATTTTCTCCCAATTAATTTTAAAATAAAATTTTATTAAATAAAAATTAGACAAATCAGGTGTTAATAAATAATTGGATAAAACAAGACTATTTTTTGTGTTAATTTATTTAAATAAATTATTTAGTATGTGTGTAAATTAAGGGTAATTGTCGTCAGCTTAATAAATATTAAATAAATAAAATATAATTTTTAATAAGAATAAAATAAAATGTGTGTGAGTGAATGTTGCCTGGCAATGAAAAATAATAAAATAATTGTTTGGTAATTTTATTAATTTCTAGGTATACAATTAAATAAAAAAAAAATTTTTATTTAATTTTTAATAGAGATAAAATGGCTTTTGTGAGTTTTTCTTAAATTTATGTAGTTTGTGAGGCAATCAGAAATACAAATCTGTACAATAATATGATTAAATAAAATAAAAAAAATTAAATTTAATTAGAAAAGGAACTAAAATTAGATTTGAAAACTGAAAAAAAATTTAGTAGATTTTTGTATGTCTTAAATTTTAATTTTTTATTACCAGACTGGGAAGGGTCGTAAAAGAATCAAAATTAATATTTCAAAAAATTTTTATCTCGATAATCGAGATTTTTGTTCGAGATCAAGTCTTGCTAAGATCTCACAGACACACGAATCTGAACAAAAAAAGTAAAAAAGCAACTAAAATAAACATTGAAAAATGAAAGAATTTACCGAGTATTTTCTCGTTTGTTTTAAATTAAAAACCAGACAGGAAAGGGTCGTAAAAGAAGCAAAATTAATATTTTAGAAATAATCTATATCTCGATAATCAAAATTTTTATTCGAGATCCCGTCTCGTTACAATTTCTAGTTTAAAATTATAAAAAAATAAATTATAATAAAATATAAATTTATGCCCTATAGAAAAAGAAGCCTTATTTGGATAAGCGTGAATAAGCTTCTTTATCAAAAAAATTTTTTATGGGTATAAGATACTTTAATTAAATAAATCTTCTGATTCTAACCTATAAGTTCTTTCTAGTTTTAAACTCCACAGCTTTAGTTTCAAAAAAATTTCAAAAAAAAATTTCGTCAAATATTTCAAGAGCTAAAACGAAAAAACAACGAAATTTATGAAAACTGACAATAGTCAGAAAAAAAACTGACAAATAGTCAGCTGACAATAGTCAGTTTTTTTAGTTTTTAGCCCATAACTTTAGAAATAAATTCCCAAAAATTCTGAAATTTTTATTGACGTTAGTTAACCTTAAAAAAATTGTCTATGCCAAATTTGGATTTTCTAAGTTTAATTTTGGCATTTTTATAGACTCACGAGCAACGTCAGTTTGCGTGCCTTGACATTCTTTTCTGAATTTAATTTCTCTTAAAAATCAGAAAAAAAATATAATTTAATTAGAAAAATTAGAAAAGAAAAGAGAAAGGCATTTTAAAGAAAAGGTGAAAAATTTGTACGAGATATGGTAAAAAATAAATTTAATTAAAAAAATAAATTCTCATAATAAAATACGTAAATATTTGCGTAAATTATTTACATAAACATTTTTAATTAAAAATCAAAAAAAAAGTATATTTTTTATTTTTATTGGGAAATTTAAATACAAAAATAATTCACGCAAATACTAAAAAAATTATTTTAAAAGGTTTCCAGGTTTTTTGAATAAAAAAATTTATTTTTGTGTTTTGAATGCCAAAACAAGAGCTCTTTATTAAGCTTTAATTAAAGAGCAATTAGAAAATTTAATTAAACAAACATCTAGGTTAATGACCTAGATCGAATAATGAGGCTAACATTTCATTATTTTGTATAAGATTGACATAATTTTTAATTACATATATAAATATCCTCAATTTGTGGGGGGGGGGGGCTAACGCTCCATCCATTGTTTTGTTATTGGTAAGAATGCTTTAATTTTTAATTACTTTACGAGTATCCTCAATTTGGGCAGAGTTTCGGAATTTTGATTTCCAACTTCTGAAGAGTATTTTGTTTCGAAACAGCTCAGGTCAGGTTCTCATCTATTCTTTATTAAAAATTTCCTAATAAATCCTTTATTCTTCTTAAACATGTAAAAATTAAAAAAAATATTTTTACAAATAATAAAAATAAATTTAAAATATTTTTCAGAATTTTAAGGAAGAAACAAAAGCTAAGAAAAATGTTTTTTTTTCATTTTTTACAAAAAAATATTTTTTAGCAAAAACTACTCTCTTTTTTAATTTAATATTTAATCTGATTTTTCCTATTTTTAATTCCTTCCATTTCTTGTGGGAATTTAAATTCTAAATATAGAAATAAGGCTAAATTTAGCTTTTTTTAATGCAATTTTGTTTGTTTCTTCTCTCTCAACCTATCCCTAAATTTTTATTTTTTTTATTTTTATTTGTGTTTTGTAGTATGGATTATTTTAATAAATTTATTTGAAAATTCTTTTTAAAAATTAAATAAAAACAGTCAAACCTCTCGATTTTAAATCAGGGCAGTCCGCAATTGCGATTGCGAACTGCGGATTGCGTAAATTGCAGTTTTTTTTTGGACTTGCGGATTGCGGCTGCGGAAAATTTTTTTCACGTGCGGACTGCCCTGGTTCAAATACCCCTTTCCTTTTAAATCCAATTTTTAAACACCTTAAATTAGAGACCAAATAGAGACGAACAAAAATCTCGGTTATCGAGAATAGAGATTCTTCGAGTTATGAATCTCAATTCCGGTTTCTATCTCTCGATTCCCAATCCGGTTTCTAATTTCTAAATATCTACATATATACTCACTCGAGATAGAGATTTTTGAAAAGCCTGGGCCTTAATCCAGGAAAACCCCAGGAAAGTCAAAAATGCCTGGGCCTGGACTCTGGGTACAGGAAAAACCCAGGCCTTGGTCTAGGCCAGCTCGATCTCTAATACACACCAAAAATCAGAAAAAAATTTTTTAAACAAATTTTGTTAATTATTAATATTTTAGGCAGATAAAAATTGAAATTTAGTAAAAAAGAATTAATTAAAATTGCAGAAAAAAATTGCAGAAAATTATAATTATTAATAGAAAATGCGAAGAAAAAAAATTAAAAATTATTTAAAATAAATTAATTGAATATTTTATTTTTTTAAATAAATTAATTAAGATAATTATATTTATTTAAAAAATATTTTTTATTAAACATTCCTCCAATTAAAATATTTTTTTTAAAAATATTTTAATTTATTTAGAAGTTATAATTATGAGGGATTTAATTAATTATTTAAAAAAGAAATTAAAAAATTTAATTTTTTTTATTTTTCTTCATTTAAAAAATAGAAACAATTAAATTTATAATATAAAAAATATTTAAATATAATTAAAAATAATTATTTTTAATTAAAAAAATTTTCGACCCAGACAGGATTCGAACCTGCAACCTTCGGTTCCGAAGACCGACGCGCTATCCGTTGCGCCACTAGGCCCTTACCGTTAAACCTCTTTTTATTTCAACAAATAAGGTATAGAAGACTTATTTTTTATGAATAAAAATAAATGTAGTCAGGCTTCCTTATAGGAAGCCCAAGTATGGATAATTCTCTATTTAAAAGGCCTTCTTAAAATTAGGTTATCCATTGAGTAGGGGATTAATGTATAAACGATACCTTCTATTTAATAGACACCTCCTTGCAATAAACGATTTTTCTCAAGAAAATACAGGGGAAAATAGAGGGGGTTATCTGATAATGAGGGGTTGACTTTTATTTTTTAAGAAAAAATTAACAAAAAAAAATTAAATTTAATAAAATTTTAATTAATTTCCAACAAATTTTCTCCATTTTCTATATTTTTTAAAGCTTTCTCAATTTTCCTTCTTTTAAATTTTTCCCATTGACAAAGAATCATTTCATCTAATCCTCCATATATTGAATAAATAAATAAATAATTGAGCAAAAGAAAAATAAAACCTATCTAAATAAATAAATAAATTTGAGGGAAATAAATTTAAATTAGAGGAGCTTAATAGAGCGTTAATTAAAAATAAAAATAGAAGAGAAAGGAACCTCCGATAATTACTCAAATTTTACTGAGAAATTACTGAAAGTAAGGTCAATAAAAACAGATAAATATTCGTACTTCTGATTTTATAAAATACAGAAATTATTTATGTAAAATCCACAAGTGATCGATTCATATCAAACGGCTTATTTCTTATCTTTTGGAACTTGGAATAAAAATTGGAGAAATTTACTCGGAAAATGAAAAAATTAGACTTGAACCAGTGAATTTCGATTAGAGTTGGCCAGTATCAGGATTCCGCCATAAAATCGCCATAAAATCCTTTTCAGTCTCGATCCTGGCATTATCGAATCGGGATTTAAAAGACCGGGTTCGACCCGCCCGATCCCGATCGGAATCCCGACACCGACCAATTCCTAATTTAACTTAAAAATATAAGAAATTAGGAATTCAGAGTGCTCTTAGAAAAATCTTAGAAAAACCTGTAAGGGAGGTAAAAGGTGAAAGGAAGAAGTTTAATAACATAGGTATTCTCCCCTTCCTTGATAGAATTCCCCTTTCATTCTCCCTCAATAACTCAAACAGATTTAGTCAAAAAAACTTCTGAAAAAATTCCCTTGCCTGTACAAAAGGTAAAAATCCCAAATGGAACAGCCAAACAGGCACAACACTACACCAAAAACAAAACCCAAAAATTTTAACCCCCAACTGCTTCCAATTATCTTTTATCCAGATTCTATTTAGTGTGGATCCATTCCCCGGTTGTAATAAATGGCGACGTGTAGATGATGATTCGTTATAGAAGTCATTTAAACGGCCTTCTTTGTCTGCCCAAATTCTGTTTTTTAATATCAAATTTTATTTTCTAATTTGGTCTACCCCTTCTAATTATAAGGACTAGGTTATCCTAATTCGTCAGTATTACCGATACCGGAACTATATACGTTTGCCGATATATAAAATAAAGTTAATTAATTTTAGGAAACGGTTATTGGTTAAATGACTAGGTCTACTACAAGGTCATAATTAGAACATGCAACCACTTTATAATGATACGAACTCTGATTTAGAGGTGTAAATATGTATCTCCCTCTCATCCCACTCCTTTACATATCTCATTTTTCCTCTAAGGAATGTATTTTATCCTTCAATTAAAGCTTCCCCCACATTAAATCCATACCGACAATCTAAATGGATCTAATTGTGGGAACCGTGTATATCAAAAATATTATTTACTTAAGTAACCATTCATGCAATTCTTCACCCATTTTAGGCAATTCATTTTGATCAAATCTCCTAATTGCATAATGTACTTGACTTGAAAGTTTTCCTCTAAATAACATTTCCGCCTCGTTTTGAACTATTTCTTTACAAGGGTATGCAACAGTTACGTCATATACGCTGGTTAGGTAATTTCCTTTAAAAAAGTAGTTTTTCTTGTGATTATTTATCTTAATAAGGGGCTTGTTTTTCATCAAAATCTCTCCCTCTTATCTCACGTCTTCCTATATCCTTTTTTGTCTTACTCTCTTGCTAATACTTTTCTACTAGAGGTCGGTAATATCACATTTGCAGGATCCTGTAACAGGATATTTTTAAATTTCGAACAGGGCAGGATCCTGCAGGATTAATCCTGAAAATCCTGACAATCCTGAAAACTGAAAAAAAGACAGGATTTCGGACAGGATCCTGAAAAATCCTGCGCAGAATCCTGTCCTGCGCCGACCTCTATTTCTACCATATCCCACACATTCCTGGATATATCCCTAGACTTTTCCCACTTATCCCAAATTCATAGTTATTCCTTTTCGGGACAGTTCCAGTGATAAGTTAATTTAAAAAATTAAGAAAATTCACTTTGCCGCATTTTCTGCACCAAATGTACAAATCCTGCTGTACGCGGATAGAGTAAATGTTTCAATCTAGGCAATCCTTCCCTATCAGCATACCGATCACTTTGAGCACTTGTATGTGCTGTTTTGTCCGTCCCTTCCGGGAACATCAAAATTTGATAAGGCTGTCCCATATCTGCATAATAATCAACTGCTCTAGCCATTCTAGCACTGTCAATTTCAAAATCTCTTTTTAAAAATACATAAACCAATCCTTGCATTCCAAAACCTTTTTTTAAGTAAAACGAAAAATGAAAATTAATTAATAATTTAAGACCTGCCCCAGGGGCATGCCGCAATAGTTCTTTTAATGCAATTCTGTTTCGAGTCATTAACCATCTTATGAAAAAAATATTTTTTGGTAATTTTTAAAGCTTTTTTATTTAACTTTTTATCAGCATAACTTTGAGGAGAAAAAAATTTTTTTAACTTTGTTTTTAAGAGAAAATACGTTTTTTAATAGGATACTAATAAGGACAAGGGCAAGACTGACGTCTTAAAAATTCTCCGAACTCTTCGAAGACTGAACTTTTATTTTTAAAATTTTCTATAAATATCCTTTATAGTTTTAATTATTATCTCTGAAAATTTCAGAATTTTTAGTAGAGAATTTCTAAGGTTATGGTCAGAGACATCTACTCATGTTAAAATGTCGACCTTGTTATACTATTTTGCCTATAACTTCTGAAATCCTGAACCAAAAATTCTAAAATTTTTTGAAGAGTTAGAAGACATTGCTAAGGATATGATTACAAAATTTAATAATTTTAAGTTGTCGTTTAAATATTTTGTGAGCGCGAAAGTTAGCAATGTCACTCACCTAGAAATATTCACTCACCTAGAAACACTTAGAAAAACGGACTCATAACTCGTGGAATACTTAACCTAAAATTCTAAAATTTTTAGAGAAGATAGTTAACACTGTCAGGAATATTCGATAAAAATTTTAAGGGCATAGGTAGAATTTCGGCTTTATGGCAAATTTTTTTTCCTGACAATTTTTCATAAAATTTTCACTTCCTCCTCTCCCTATTCCTTTATATTTTTTAACTAAAAAAATTACGGATTCATTCTCCACAGAACTAACCAAAAATAGAACCAATCCAGCCTTGTTCTATGACTTGAAAATAATTTTTTAATTAAAAAAATTTAATTTTCCCAACTTTAAAATTAATATAGAAGGTTCATCTAAACGTATTTCATCCCCAATAGCTTTAACTTTAACTCGAAAAATAAAATGTAGAAAAAATAGAGGAATTAACATCCAAAAAGTAATTGCTCTATCCATTAAAGAACGCCATTCTCGATGCATTCCAAAAATTGTGATCATTGGAAGGAATAAAGTAACGATATAATTGCCTTTTTAAAATTGTTAAAAATTAATTTTAAATTGATTCTTTTTTTGAAAAATCTATAGAAACATAAAATAATTTAATTCGAGGATTTATTATCCATAGGAAGAAACGTTCTGTTCCGATTTCGAAATTGGGAATTTATTTTTTTATTTTGACACGTTCCATAATCCGTAACAGGGATAAGCCAAGACAGATTATAAAAAGCGAAAGACGGGATTCCAAAAAAGGCGGAATTTTGGCAAAAGGTAAAAAACGGAAGGCATAAAGGCGGACACCCCTGATCCTTAACTAATAGTTTCTATGTAAATTAATATTTTAAATTTAATTCAATTAAAGGTTAAATTAATTAAAATATTTTTAAAAATTTTTCCCTTATTTTAATTTCTATGTAACTGCCGTTAAGTTTAAGCTTTTCATGTATTTAGGATTAAACAATATTAAATTAATTAAAGGATTAATTAATTAGATTAGTTAACACTCTCTTCCGCTTCCCCTTCCTTCTGCCACTTTTTTAAAACGGCTTGACCCATCCTGTCGATTACCCTTTTAATTTTACTTTCAAAATAAAAAATCGAAAATCGAAAAAAAACTACCAAAAATAGAAGTCCCAAAAACAATAATTGCAAAAGCAAATCCTCTTATAGGGCGAATAATTTCTCTAATTCCAATTAAAATTTTATTTATAATTTTTAATAAAATGATTCTTAGCCACATTTAATTTTTAAATAATTTTTTTAGAAAAAATATTTTGTGAACACGCACAATTTTGTTTAAAAGGAAGGAAAAGGATAAATAATTTTAAATCCAGGGCATCCAAAAAATAAATAAATAAAAATCGATTTGCGAGAATAAAAAAAAGATGGGGGATTTGCTCAAGAAAACATTTATTTAATAAAAAAAATATTTTTTATTTTATTTATTTAAATTTACAAGAAAAAATTTTATTTATTAACAGGAAAAAATTTTTTAAGTGAGGAATAATGAAGGAAAAAGTGAGGGAGAGTGAGGGAAAAAATTTTTAAGTGAGGGCTACCTACTTAATAAGTGAGGGAAAATAACGACAATCACAAGGCAAACACTATAAAAAATTCCATAACTCCTCATAAACTAAACTAAAATTTCTAAAATTTTGTCAAAATATTCTTTATAGTGTTGATTATAAACTCTAAAAATTTCAGAATTTTTGATTCAATATTTCCCAATTTATGGTCATAAAAGCATCAAAATTAGACATTTTCAGAATTTTCAACACCTTTTCGGCCATAACTCGGAAAATTTTAAACCAAAAATTCTCAAATTTTCGGAGAAGTTAACTAGTTGTTTTAGACATACTCAAACAAATTTTCACGATTGTAGCTACTCTATAGGCAATTATGTAGGCTTCAAGTGAACAAGGTTAAGCTTCACAAGGAGTACTATAATAATTTTTAATAAACTTTATTTAATTAAAAAAAATTTATTCAAAATAAAAATATTTTTTTAAAAATAATTATGGCATTAAAAAATAGATTTATATATAAATTGGGATTTTTAATTTAAAAAATTAAAAATTTTCTTCAAAATTAAAAAAAAATTTTTTTTTAAATTTCTTCAATATTTAACCCCCAATTTACACATATTTATAGAAAGAACCGTATATATTATTTATAAAATTTTAATTAATTTATTTATGATATAAAATATTCTTTAAAAAATTAAGTCTGTGTTGATGCCTCCGAATAAGTCGAAAAAGTGCACGTTTAAATTCTCGATTATAGTAAGTATAAATTATTGGGTTGATGGCACTATTACCTTCAAATTTAAAATGATTTAGAAAAAAGAAGAGAAAATTCAAGAGTGGATTGGTTTTAAATAATTTTAAATATTTTTCAAATTTTAAATAACTAGATTTAGACTCAAAAATTTCTAGTAGAATTTTCTAGCATAATACTCACTAAAGGGGCAAGGAATAAAAGTTCAGAGAGACAATTTGTTTAATTATACAATCAAATCTTGTTATAATATAAGCCCCAACTTAAGCATACAACTCAGTTTAGTGTAAGGTTATTCTAAAATGGTTGGAGAGCTTGCTAAGCTATACCTACTAGGAAATGGAAAACATGGAAAGCTCCGAAAACCATCGGCTCTAAAGCCGGAACCGTCTTCAAAAAACACTCAATACCCAATAACGCTAATTAACCTCTCTTAAAATTTTTAAAAATATTTAAAAAAGGCTACTAACAATATCCAAGCCAAAAGAAAAATTTAAATATAGGCATAGGAATATCCAAAGTGAGAGCATTTAATACATAGATCACCTTCAAAAAAATATTTTTTTCAATTTTTAAAAAATTTATTTTCTCTTACAAAAAATGGCATCCAACTAATAATAAAAGCAAAAAGTATGAGGCCAAGTAAAAGAGTTGCTTGTCTTTCTTTTGCCTTTAAAATTAAAATTTTTCAAAATTTAATTAATTAAAATGGCACTTTTAATCTTCTTTTTCGTTTTTCTATGCTTCTTTTTCGTTGAATTCCAGACAGAATTTCTGTGTCAGTCCATGCCTGTCCTCTTTTAAATAAAGGTGAAAAGAGTGTTGAATAACGGTTTGTTGGTCGTTTATTCTATAAATTTATCAAAATTAAATTTAAAAAAATTTTACGAGGAGAGGGGAGTTTTTGAATAAATATTTAAATGGAATTTTTGAGATTTTTATTGAAGAATTTTATGGAATTTTAAAAGTCAATCGTTGTAACAATGTGTAACATACTTGTAACTTGTAACATACAGGGATAGGGTTATAGGTTCTGGATCTAACCGAAGAAATGAGATTTTTCGGTTCGGTCCGGATATCCGAAATTTTCCAGAAACCGACAACCCCATACAGGCGTAAAAAAATAAATTCGCAATTTAGAGAATCGGTAATAGAGTTGGCTGTAGATCCCTGCTACATAAACTTAATGAACCACCTCCTACCAAGTCAATCAAATTTTAAATAATGGAAAGAAATACAAATAGAAATCTTTTGATTTTTTGTATTTATCTCCTTCAAGCCAAGGGTCGGTCGGAATTCCGATTTCCAACGCCTTCGTAATTTCCAACCAACACCTCCTACAAACCCTTATTATTCCTCTGAAAATTCAGAAAAAAATAAACAGGGACGGATTAGATAGACGAATACGGGTACAGCCCGAGTAGGCGCGCGGCCAAGTAGGCGCAAAGCCATAACTTGCTTCAAGATTTTCGAATCTTTCAAAATTTAGCATTAAACGATTCCTCTCATCGAGCTAAAGAGATTGGTACCAAAATGGTTAAGGTCCAGAAATTTTCCAGGTAGTTATGGCTTTGCGCCTACCTGGCCGCGCGCCTACTTGGGCGTGTCCCAGACGAATACGATTGGGCAAAGGTCTCGCTTAATCCGTGGACCTTTTCAATTTTTAAACTTTTCAAAAAAAAAATTTTTTTCCCCAATATTTACCCCTTCATCCTTTTCTTCTTCCTTAATTGTTTTAGCACAAACAGAATTAACATCAGATTCCATAGATAAATTATTTAAATTTTCCAAATTATTTTTTTCTTTAAATTCTTCCAATTTTCCATTTATTTTTGTCGATCCCCCAGTCATTGAGTAAAGCGTTTCGTCCATTCTTTGGGTATCTTTTAATCTTTGCTGGCTATGTCTTTTAGTTATTGCATAAATCCTCCAATAGACCATTACCAAAACTGCTATAGGAATATAGAAAGAGCCTAAGGAGGAGTAAAGGACGTAGTCCAATTCTGATGATACTGAACATTCTCCTGGGCTCTTAAAAATTTTTTTGAGATTTTTTGAAAGGGTTTTTTGAAAGTTTTAATTGAATCGGACTTCTATTGTATTTTTTAAACTTTTTGGGAAAAGTAGAGAGGATTATACCAAACACATGGAGGTTATCTTATAATTAGGGTTGTCAGTTCCTAGAAATTCTCTGGATATCCGAAACCAAACCGACCAGAAAAATCCTCGGTTCTTCGGAACGGTCCAGAACCGACACCCCTACTTATAGTCGGCAAAAGAACCGAAAGAACCTGACATAAAGAACCGAAAAATCCTTAGTTCTTCGGTTCTTACGAAACGAACCCTCTAGTGATAATTGCAAGAATAACCTCAGCAGGGTCCTCCAACCCTCAAGGATAACCTCCAGAGTCCCTCCATCCACCCCCTCACCCAGTGGCCAACTAAAATATACCTAAAAAATGTATCTCAGACAGAGGTGTGTCTCTAATATTGGATGTATATTATAGTGAGGTCTAACACTTTCCGAAATTTTTATTCTTTCCATCAACTTTTATTTAAATTAAAAAAATATTTTCCACAAACCCTTTGGGGACGCCATCCAAGAAGTGGAGGAAAACTTATTAAAAAAGAAACCAGCCAGGCCACACCTGATAAAGTTAGAAAAAAATATTAAATTTCTTAAATTGTATTTTTTAAAGTTTTTTAAGTATGTACAAAGTACAACGGCCCTCTAGAGAGAAAAGTAAAGTGGATATTAAAAATATAAAAGAACAGCCCCAAAAAATATAAAAAATGATGTCTTCATAAAAATTGAAAAAAATAAATTAAAGAGAAGATAAAATTTCGAAATTCAAAAAATTATTTTTAAAATTTCTAAAAATTTGAAATTCGGGCAAAATTAAAAAAAAAAGAATATATTTATAAAAAATACACATTTAGAAAAAATTCATGTTATTATAATAAGGTGAATTCTTATAATAAAATTAGACTACAAGGGAAATTAAAAGACGATGATGTCTAGAGCTGTCCGAGACTCTTGGTCTTGAGTCTTAGTTCAAGACTTTTCTTGGGTATTTTTCTGTCTTGGTCTTGAGGTGTAGTTGGAAAATTTTCGGTCTCGGACAGCTCTAATGATGTCAATGGAGAGTTTTAATGATTTTCATAAAGATTGTACATATAGGAATTCCTCTATAAATTTTTTGAAATAAGAAAAGGATTGGAATTTTGTCATTTTTAGAGAATTAACAAAAAAAATTTTTCTAGAAATTTTTTTAATAATTTTTTAAAATTAATTTACCTATCATTACACATATTCTAGTTGGTGTTCTTTTAATTGGATAAGTTAAGGGTTGTGTTACTGACCAATACCGATCAAGTGAAATAATGCAGATATGGAGTATTGAGGCCTTTTTAATTTAAAAATTTTTTAGAAAAATTTTTTCTTCCTTACAGTAACGAAAAGAACATCCAAAGCCAGCCATAATTCACAAAGAAAACCTCCTTAAATTTCACAAAAAAAAAAATTTTTTTTAATTTTTTGGCCCACCTAAAATCCAAACCCCAATAATTTCATAAAGCAAAGTTAATGGCATAACTAATAATCCAACTAAAAAATCGGCGACAGCACTAGAAAATAATATTTTTTTATTTTTTTATTTTTCTAGAGGATTTTACAGTGAAACAATAAGCCAATTTTGTCGTTGAGCTCGCAGTTTGGAGTCAAACTTGACTGTTAGGACAACCATTAGATTACCAAGTACAATTACCTTGAGGGAAAAAATGTCTTTTTTTAATTTAAAAATTTTTTTTGAAATATTCTAAAAAAATAAAAAAAAATTTTAGAAAAATTTTCAAAAATTTCAAAAAATAAAAAAAAATTTTGAAAAAAAAATAAAAAATAATTCTAAAATTCCAAAAAATATTTTTAACCCAACTTTATATTTTTTATTAAAATTTAAAATATTTTTTAATCAAAAAGTTTCTTTTAATTTTATTTAATATATAATTTTTAATTTAATTTCCTTCTCTTTTCCTTCCCTTTCCTGTTTTTATTAATTAAATTTAATTAGAAAAACAAACAAAAACATACCAACATAACAACGGAAATAAACGCAACATTAATAAATGCCTCGCTTAAAAGAAGGCAGGAAGGCCATATAGAAACATGAACTCCTAGAGAACAAACAAATTGTTGTTGTTGTTCTAATTGTTTTGTTTCATTAAAAGAATTATTTAATGTTTGTAAAAACATTGGGGAATTTTTAATCAAAACATGTTGTTGTTGAGGTAATAAATGTTTTTGTTGTTGTTGTTCGTTTATTGTTGTTTTGAATATATTCATGTTTTTACTGATGTTTTTATTGATGTTTTTATTGATGTTTTTAGTGTTTGTTTTATTTGTTGTGAAGGATGTTTGGGGAAAAAGAAGAATAAAACATTTGAATAAAAATATTAAATAATTATTGTTTATGGTGGGAGGTTCTTTAATTCTTTAAATAAATTATTAAATTAATTTTAAATAATGGGAAAATAAATAAATAAAATATAAAAATGAAAATATAAACAAAAAATAATAATAAAGTAAAAATAGAAAACCCTAAAATAAACAAGAATACGAAATACACACCAAAACATAAAAATATAGAGACAACAGAAACACTTGAATAGGCTTAAAAACGCAATTAAATTAAAAAAAAAATTAATTTTAAATAAGCTTAAGTTTAAATTAAAAACAACTCTTTATCCTTTAAAAACAAATTTAATTTAAATTAGCTGTCAAAAACTCAGACAGAAAAACAACATTTAATAAAAACACTTTCCGTGTTTTCTTTCCGGAAGTTTCTCATTTAAAATTAAAAAATTATGTAAATACACTATTTTCACACAAACATCATTTATAAAATACATCCTTAATTTTTAATGTTTTTTTCGTTTTCTTTTTCTAAATGTTTGCTTATGTTTTTGAATAAATAAATGAAAGAAATGAATAAATTAAAACAATAGAATAATTATTTAAAACAACATCTCAAACATCACCTGAAACATCTATAAAACAAAAGAAACATTTTATAATGTTTTTCTAATAAATGTTTATGTTTTTAGAATGTTTGTTTGTTGCGGAAGTTAAATAAACAGCATTTAAACAAAACAAATTTAAACAAAACAATTCAAACAAAACAAATTTAAACAAAAGAATTTAAACAAAACATTTCAAAAAACAAACAATCAAAACAAAACATTCCAAACGAACAACAATCAAACATTTCAAAACAAAACAAATTTTAAACAATACAATTCAAACAAAACAATCCAAGCAAACATTTGAAGCAAAACAAATTAAACAAAACAATTAGAACAAACAACCCAAACAAAACAATTTTAAACAAAACGAATTTTAAACATTGTCTCAAACATCATATTTAAACAAACATTTCAAACATTAAATTTAAATAAATAAAAATTATTATTTTTAAAGTAAATTCGGGAAGTAAAAAAATATTTTTTTATTAATGTCAAAAAAGTAATTTAATATTTAGAATTAACTTTTGGGTTGCCTTTTTATCAAAATAAAAAATAAGGCACAAAATGAATTCAAGAAATTGAGTTTGTTGACCGTAAATATATTGCTTTGAATGAGTAAACGAGAAAAAGGGGTTGAATTTCATAGACTAGAAAAAGAAGAAGCATTGCCAGCTTCTCTCTTTTTTTATCTCAATAAAAAATATAGGAAATATATGGTTCAGAGCCTTGCGGGGGAGATAAAAAAAGGTTGGAAGGGGAGGTAAAGCAGGCTTCTTTCAAAATATGTTCCCCCTCCCTTTTTTTATTTATTCCTGAACCAAACACACGCACAAATGTCCCATCCTTTAACCCCCCATATTTCCCACACATTTTCTCATTTCTCTTCCAGACTTGTGATAAAAAGGAATCGATTAAAAATGCGGCTTGAAACGAGTGACAGCTTATTCGTGCAGCCACAAAAAACCCCTTTTCCCTCTCTCTCATCTGCCCCTAAAAAACCTCAAATTCAAGCAGCTGTCTTTCTCCCTCGTTGTGTTTTAGCGGTTTTTCTTTTTAGTCAGGCGACTTTTCTTTTTGGAACCCTTTTTTTACTTTTTTGTTTTTCTTCTCCAGATGCTAAATTAATGGAAAAAGCTTGGCAATGAGCGGTAATAGATATTCCCTCCTACATATTTTATTAAAGAAAAGAATGGCATTTTTTTGATAAAAAAAATTAAATTTGTCCCAAAGGGATTGTTCGATCAGTTAAATTGGAAAATAAAATAAGCAAAAAAAAGAAAGATTAAATTTTAATATATTTTAGCAGATGTTTCATAAACTGCTTGGAAAAAATCACGTGGAATTTCGGAACAAAAAGGAGATATTTCTATTTATATAATTTTTAAATAATTATTGTTGTTGTTCAAAGAAAAAATAAAGCTTTGTTAAATTAAATTTAAAAAAATAAATAAAAATTAAAAATATTTATTTATTTTAAACCTCTTTAAAAAAATAAAAAAATTAGGAGGGGAAGTAGATTTAATTTTTAATCTTTTAGTTAAAAGAATTAATAAAATAAACTTGACAACCAACAGAAAAAGTTTTTTAATAAATGCCATTAACTTAATAATAAAACGAGCTTAGCTTAATCAAATTTAGAAAATAATGCTTGGTACTTGCCGATTAACCTAAATATCGTAAAAATTTCAACAGACTTTTCAGCTTTCCATCTTGGTTTTTTCTTTTTTATGGTTTGCTTTTGAACATGAATAATTAAAGAAGGCGTATAAAATAAAATGGAACAATTAGAATTATTTAACTAGCTAAATTTTATTAAACTCAGTTAACCGAAGAAGAGTTTCACTTTCAACTAAGGACCTACCAAGAGCATCGATCTTCGAGTTTGTTAGCTTAAAATTCCTTTGAAAACTTGAGTGGTCCTATCTTTAGTCTGTAATATTTTAAGGGAAATTAAATTGGGTGAGTATATAGTAGTCTTCTGTCCGTTACGTTTTTAGTTCCACACGCTAAATTTTGAGATTTCAAGTGTCTGAAAAGAATAAAATTGCACTATAAAAGGCGAACACTCAAAACTTGAAAACATCACGACCTCTCTAATACCACAACAATGAGCCATTTGCCGCGATTCTTCAATCAGGAGGTCGTGAAGATCCGGCACAAACAACAGGAACGTCAACAACGACATTTTACTACTCAACCACAACCAATGGAACAACGTTCTCCACATCAACATCAACAGCAAGATGAGCAAGCACACGCAGACGAAGTTGAACAAAAGAAAGCCCGTGGGCGGGTTAAAGGAGAACAAATAACTTGGTAAATTACATAAATTAGCCTGCTAAATTCATTTTTTCCTTTTAAATTTTCAGTGAAAGTCTAAGCTACAAAGTGTTGGAACACTTATCGCGTGGAGCGTTCTCGTCAGTGTATAAGGTTTTGGACTGTAAAGACGGCTCAATGTTCGCAATGAAAGAGGAACAATCGAAGCCGAATTGTGAATTTAATTTGATCAAGGAGATTACAATATTGGAAGCGGTGAAAGGTGCCACAGAAGACGATCAAAAACGTTTTGCTGTTTTGCACTCTACATGCAAATTGGAAACTTCGATGCTTTTTGTTATGACTCTTTTTGGAGAATCCCTCTCTTCATTAAAGCGAAAACGAGCAAACCATATGTTTAGGTAATAGCAAGGGGGTTACCAACAGTAATAATAATTAATTTTCCCACAGTCTGAACACTGGACTTTTTTGCTGTTTGGAAACCCTGCAATGCTTGAAATCATTACACATGCTAGGATACATCCACCGTGATGTGAAACCTAGCAATTTTTGTATCGGCCTTCGACAGAACAATCGCCAAAATTCAATCTTCATGATAGATTTTAGCCTGTCAAAACGTATCTTGTGTTCGGATGGCAAGATTGCAAGTCCTCGTTCAAAGGTAATTTCACAATCCTTGCGTTTAGAGCTTTGAATGTTTTTTAATTTTCCAGATTCGATTCAAGGGCACGGTGAAGTTTGCACCGTTGTCTATGCATAGAGGAAACGACTCCAGTTACAAAGAAGATGGTGAAAGTTGGGTGTATATGATTGCCGATATGATCAGCAAAACGAAACTACCATGGAGAATGGAACAGGACCTTGGAAAAATTGAGAGGCACAAAGAAGAAGTTTTTGCGAATCCGTATAATTTGTTCAAGGATGAAGAGGTAAAATAGAGAAACTATTCTAAAACGCTTTTGTTTTTTTTAGTTCTCTGAACTTCGAAGTATAGTTTCCTACCTCAAGAAGCTTCATTATGTTGACAAGCTTGATTACAACTGGGTGCGTGAAATGCTTAGACGTGTTGCAAAGAGGAAACGCTGCAATTTGAAACCACCACTTGATTGGGATTCGTGATGCTATTGTAAATATAAAGAAACAGAAAATTTTTGATGTTATGTTGTTTCGGATATTATGTGTTGATATTTTTCCGCTCTTGTAGCAAATAATCTATTTATTTCCTCCTATTTTTTCCTCCTATTTTTTCCTCCTATTTCTATTACTTCTTATACATCCTCCTCTTTAAATTCTCCATTAACAATAAAATTTTGTGGAGGTTTATCATAATGTATTCAATAATTATCACATTAGAATAAAATCCTTATAATGGAGATTTTATGATAATGATAATTCGCATAAATATTAGTTTTTGTAAGAAACACCCATCTCTGTGAATTACTGTAGATGTTTCTTTAAGACCCGACATACTTAAATAGGCCCAATTTTTCTTGGCATAATGTTTTTTTCTTTAAAATATAATTAACTTTTTATTGTCTGCAAAATTTTGCGGATTTTCCAAAATTTAAATTTTTTTTTTAATTCGACAAGGTTACTTCCCTTTTATCCCCTTTTCTTAAAATCTGCTACTTCCTAAAAATGCAGAAGGCACAGTTTTGGTTACAGGAGCAGCTGGATTTATTGGCTCACATACAGTTCTGCAATTATTGGAGGCGGAATATGAGTTTTGGCATTAGATAATTTTAGTAATTCAATTCCACAAGGTTTCTAGGAATTTTGAAATTTATTTTTTTGTTTAAAAATTTTAGATGAAGGGAAGAATAATGCTGTTAGTTTGCAAAGAGTTTCTGAATTGACTAGAAAGACTATAAAGTAAAAAATAACTTTTGCGGATAATAATTGCGGACAGAATTCCTCGTATAATTTGTCCGCAAAAACTTTGCGGATTTTAAGTTCCCTCAAATTTGTCCGCAAAAACTTTGCGGATTTTTATTTCCCTTGGAAATCTTATCTGCAAAAATTTTTGCGGATTTTTATTTTCCTCAGAAATTCTGTCCGCAAAAAATTTGCGGATTTTTTTTTAATTTAAATTTTTTTTAGATTTTTCCAAGCTGACGTTCTTGATTTACCAAAATTAGAAGGACTTTTTGAAAAGGCTAGTTTCAATTAAATAATAATTTTTTTCTATTTTTAGGAAGATTTTCGGTCAGTTATTCATTGTACTGCTTTAATTATCTGTTGGTCAGTTAATTAATTTTATTTCCTCTAATTATTTTTTTAATTTTAGGGGAATCTGTGGCCAAACCTCTGGACTATTATAACAACAATATTGTTGGCTCTCTTAATTTATTAAGGTTTTCTATTAAATTTTTAATATTTTGCGGACTAATCCCCGTCAAGGAATTTGCCCACAACTAAACTTGCGGACAATATTTTTTAAGCAAATATTTTAAGTTAAAAATTGAATTAGCCTTTAAAGTTAAAACATGGATCTTTTACTTAGAACTTATGCTGGTTGCTTTTTGAAAATTATAAAATAAGTCCGCAAATGCGTCCGCAAAATTCGAAAATATTTTTAAAATTTCTTTTTTTATATTTTTTGCAGTGTTGCCAAAAATTCAATGTCAAAGAATTCATTTTCTCGAGTAGTGCAACTGTTTTGGAGAACCAGAGTCTTTACCTTTAACCGAGGAAAGCCGAGTTGGTTTGGGAATTACTAACCCTTATGGACAAACTAAGTTTATGGTTGAACGAATTCTTATGGATTTGAAACGAGCTGAACAGGTTTAACTTGCGGACAATATATGCCAAGCGGATTGATTGGTGAAGATCCTCAAGGAATTCCAAACAATTTGGTTTTTTTTAAATATTTTTAAATTTATTTTTCAAAGATGCTTTACATCGCAAAAGTAGCTGTTGGAAAATTGCCTCATTTAAATATTTTTGGAACAAATTATAATACTCCTGATGGTACTGGAGTTCGTGATTATATTCACATTGTTGATTTGGTTAAGGTTTTTAATTTTTGAAAAATTATTTTATTTGGATCTTTTACTTAGATCTTTTACTTCATCTTTACTTTGGATCTTTTACTTCACGCTTTCTAATAATTTTTAAATTATTTTTTAAAGGCTCACGTTTCTGCACTAGATAATATTGGCAAAGATATACCAAAAGGAAGTAATGGAGAAGAATTGGCAGAGATTTACAATTTGGGAACTGGAAAGGGATATTCTGTTGGGTTTTTTTGAAAGGGGAAATTAGTTGAAAAAATTTTAGGTTAAAGAAATGGTTGCTGCTTTAGAGAAGGCGTCAGGAAAGAAGGTTCTCTTCAAATTATTTTTTAAAAATTCTTTCTTTTTTAAAGTTAACAGTAAAAGAAGTAGAACCTCGCCCTGGAGATTTGGCTATTTTATATTGTGATCCTTCTTTGGCACTCAAAAAACTTGGATGGAAAGCGGAATACGGAATAGATGAAATGTGCAGGGACACTTGGAATTGGTGTGTTAAAAATCCTGATGGATTTGCTAAGAAGGCAGAATGAAGGGGTTTCTTTGGGGATTTCTTCTTTTCTTTTTACCCGGTTGTTAATTCTTTTTATTTAACTTTTTCTTTTTTTCTTAAATGCCTTTTTCTTTTAATTATTTAATAATTCACTACTGATTATTATTAACCGGCATATGAGTCTTAAGGATTTTATTTTGGGTGAATTTTTTTTAAGATCGGTCTAGCCGGTCTAGCTCGGTCTAGCCGGTCTAGATCGGTCTAGCCCACCCCTTCTAATTATAAGGACTTAGTTACATGAGATTAATCTGTATATTTAGATCGGTCTAGCCCACCCCTTCTAATTATAAGGACTTAGTTACATGAGATTAATCTGTATATTTAGATCGGTCTAGCCCACCCCTTCTAATTATAAGGACTTAGTTACATGAGATTAATCTGTATATTTAGATCGGTCTAGCCCACCCCTTCTAATTATAAGGACTTAGTTACATGAGATTAATCTGTATATTTAGATCGGTCTAGCCCACCCCTTCTAATTATAAGGACTTAGTTACATGAGATTAATCTGTATATTTAGATCGGTCTAGCCCACCCCTTCTAATTATAAGGACTTAGTTACATGAGATTAATCTGTATATTTAGATCGGTCTAGCCCACCCCTTCTAATTATAAGGACTTAGTTACATGAGATTAATCTGTATATTTAGATCGGTCTAGCCCACCCCTTCTAATTATAAGGACTTAGTTACATGAGATTAATCTGTATATTTAGATCGGTCTAGCCCACCCCTTCTAATTATAAGGACTTAGTTACATGAGATTAATCTGTATATTTAGATCGGTCTAGCCCACCCCTTCTAATTATAAGGACTTAGTTACATGAGATTAATCTGTATATTTAGATCGGTCTAGCCCACCCCTTCTAATTATAAGGACTTAGTTACATGAGATTAATCTGTATATTTAGATCGGTCTAGCCCACCCCTTCTAATTATAAGGACTTAGTTACATGAGATTAATCTGTATATTTAGATCGGTCTAGCCTACCCCTTCTAATTATAAGGACTTAGTTACATGAGATTAATCTGTATATTTAGATCGGTCTAGCCCACCCCTTCTAATTATAAGGACTTAGTTACATGAGATTAATCTGTATATTTAGATCGGTCTAGCCTACCCCTTCTAATTATAAGGACTTAGTTACATGAGATTAATCTGTATATTTAGATCGGTCTAGCCCACCCCTTCTAATTATAAGGACTTAGTTACATGAGATTAATCTGTATATTTAGATCGGTCTAGCCCACCCCTTCTAATTATAAGGACTTAGTTACATGAGATTAATCTGTATATTTAGATCGGTCTAGCCCACCCCTTCTAATTATAAGGACTTAGTTACATGAGATTAATCTGTATATTTAGATCGGTCTAGCCCACCCCTTCTAATTATAAGGACTTAGTTACATGAGATTAATCTGTATATTTAGATCGGTCTAGCCCACCCCTTCTAATTATAAGGACTTAGTTACATGAGATTAATCTGTATATTTAGATCGGTCTAGCCCACCCCTTCTAATTATAAGGACTTAGTTACATGAGATTAATCTGTATATTTAGATCGGTCTAGCCCACCCCTTCTAATTATAAGGACCTAGTTACATGAGATTAATCTGTATATTTAGATCGGTCTAGCCCACCCCTTCTAATTATAAGGACTTAGTTACATGAGATTAATCTGTATATTTAGATCGGTCTAGCCCACCCCTTCTAATTATAAGGACTTAGTTACATGAGATTAATCTGTATATTTAGATCGGTCTAGCCCACCCCTTCTAATTATAAGGACTTAGTTACATGAGATTAATCTGTATATTTAGATCGGTCTAGCCCACCCCTTCTAATTATAAGGACTTAGTTACATGAGATTAATCTGTATATTTAGATCGGTCTAGCCTACCCCTTCTAATTATAAGGACTTAGTTACATGAGATTAATCTGTATATTTAGATCGGTCTAGCCCACCCCTTCTAATTATAAGGACTTAGTTACATGAGATTAATCTGTATATTTAGATCGGTCTAGCCCACCCCTTCTAATTATAAGGACTTAGTTACATGAGATTAATCTGTATATTTAGATCGGTCTAGCCCACCCCTTCTAATTATAAGGACCTAGTTACATGAGATTAATCTGTATATTTAGATCGGTCTAGCCCACCCCTTCTAATTATAAGGACTTAGTTACATGAGATTAATCTGTATATTTAGATCGGTCTAGCCCACCCCTTCTAATTATAAGGACTTAGTTACATGAGATTAATCTGTATATTTAGATCGGTCTAGCCCACCCCTTCTAATTATAAGGACTTAGTTACATGAGATTAATCTGTATATTTAGATCGGTCTAGCCCACCCCTTCTAATTATAAGGACTTAGTTACATGAGATTAATCTGTATATTTAGATCGGTCTAGCCTACCCCTTCTAATTATAAGGACTTAGTTACATGAGATTAATCTGTATATTTAGATCGGTCTAGCCCACCCCTTCTAATTATAAGGACTTAGTTACATGAGATTAATCTGTATATTTAGATCGGTCTAGCCCACCCCTTCTAATTATAAGGACTTAGTTACATGAGATTAATCTGTATATTTAGATCGGTCTAGCCCACCCCTTCTAATTATAAGGACCTAGTTACATGAGATTAATCTGTATATTTAGATCGGTCTAGCCCACCCCTTCTAATTATAAGGACCTAGTTACATGAGATTAATCTGTATATTTAGATCGGTCTAGCCCACCCCTTCTAATTATAAGGACTTAGTTACATGAGATTAATCTGTATATTTAGATCGGTCTAGCCCACCCCTTCTAATTATAAGGACCTAGTTACATGAGATTAATCTGTATATTTAGATCGGTCTAGCCCACCCCTTCTAATTATAAGGACCTAGTTACATGAGATTAATCTGTATATTTAGATCGGTCTAGCCCACCCCTTCTAATTATAAGGACCTAGTTACATGAGATTAATCTGTATATTTAGATCGGTCTAGCCCACCCCTTCTAATTATAAGGACCTAGTTACATGAGATTAATCTGTATATTTAGATCGGTCTAGCCCACCCCTTCTAATTATAAGGACTTAGTTACATGAGATTAATCTGTATATTTAGATCGGTCTAGCCCACCCCTTCTAATTATAAGGACCTAGTTACATGAGATTAATCTGTATATTTAGATCGGTCTAGCCCACCCCTTCTAATTATAAGGACTTAGTTACATGAGATTAATCTGTATATTTAGATCGGTCTAGCCCACCCCTTCTAATTATAAGGACTTAGTTACATGAGATTAATCTGTATATTTAGATCGGTCTAGCCCACCCCTTCTAATTATAAGGACTTAGTTACATGAGATTAATCTGTATATTTAGATCGGTCTAGCCTACCCCTTCTAATTATAAGGACTTAGTTACATGAGATTAATCTGTATATTTAGATCGGTCTAGCCCACCCCTTCTAATTATAAGGACTTAGTTACATGAGATTAATCTGTATATTTAGATCGGTCTAGCCCACCCCTTCTAATTATAAGGACTTAGTTACATGAGATTAATCTGTATATTTAGATCGGTCTAGCCCACCCCTTCTAATTATAAGGACTTAGTTACATGAGATTAATCTGTATATTTAGATCGGTCTAGCCCACCCCTTCTAATTATAAGGACCTAGTTACATGAGATTAATCTGTATATTTAGATCGGTCTAGCCCACCCCTTCTAATTATAAGGACTTAGTTACATGAGATTAATCTGTATATTTAGATCGGTCTAGCCCACCCCTTCTAATTATAAGGACTTAGTTACATGAGATTAATCTGTATATTTAGATCGGTCTAGCCTACCCCTTCTAATTATAAGGACTTAGTTACATGAGATTAATCTGTATATTTAGATCGGTCTAGCCCACCCCTTCTAATTATAAGGACTTAGTTACATGAGGGCAAACTGTACTAGTCATCAATAGAGGGGGCCTGGCTAGGTAAGTGGGTCGAAGAGAAACCAGCCGGGTAAACAGAGGGCCTGGCTAGGTAATAGAGGGCCTGGCTAGGTAAGTGGGTCGAAGAGAAACCGTCCGGGTAAACAGTACGTCATAAATATAAACAAAAGGGGAGATTTTTCTTTTATAATTTTTGAATAATTTCCTTAATTTTAACTAGTTTTTAAATAATTAATTTTGTTCGAAATTAAATTTAAAATATAATTATATAAATTTATTTAAACCTTTTAAAAAATAAAAATTACAAAAGGGAGTATTTAATTTTTAATCTTGTTTAAAAACAATAAAATAAACTTGACAACCAACCGCAAAAGATTTTTTAAATAAATGACAGTAAGTTAATGATCAGAAACAATCTTATGTTAGATTAATCAAATTTAAAAAGCTAATTTTTCCATTTTTTAAGTGTATATTTTTAATGTATAGCCTTTAATTATTCGTGTGTCAAAAGCAAAACAAAGGAATATTGAGGAAAAAATTTTACGGTTTAGATTTTACGGTCCCGAAATAGTATAAACTAACTATCAAGTTTTCGAGACGATTTTTATATAACAAACACGATCGATCCTCTCGGCCCGGGAACGAGATAGTTAGACAATAATAGTTTGATTCAAAAATGACAACCGAGAAATGTCTAAAACTTTTAATAAAGTTGGTTGTCAAGATAAGCGCCTAAGTGTGCTAATTTTTAAGTTTAAAATTTTTAAATGAAAGGGGGATGTAACCGAATTATGAAAATTAACGCCTTAAATGTACAATAATGTGAATTTGAAAAATTACTAATGGGAATTAATTCAACATCAAAACCTCCAAATATTTTTAATCAAAAAAATATTTAAGAATTGTCGTAGAATTTTAATGAATATTGAATAAATTGCAATAAATTAGAACATCTATTTACTTATGGGTGGAAAAAAAGAAAAATCAGAGAGAATCCAGGAGATTCTTTCCTATAAAAATGGAGAAAACGAGTCGAGACTCTCTAGGGATATTTACAGAAAATGTTAAAACTGCGTTAAAATTCAAGGAGAGGTTTTGATGTTGAGGGATTAGTTAATTGTAAGAAAATTACTTAAACTTATATGTACACACAATATATATTTACTAATTCTTTTTTATTTCAAATGATAAGTTCTTTTACCTTTCGGCCAAAAGCTAAAATTCCACCATCGGCTTCCATCATTTGTACATTCTTCAATTAAAGCCATGTTCTCCAAAAGAGTTAGAACTTCTAAAAAAATAAAATTTAAACATCTTTTCGGAAATAACAAAAAAACCTTCTGCCGACGGCCTTTTCTCTTGTTTTTGTTCGAGCAATACATTAATTAAAAAACATAGTTTTGAATCTTCTGGAATGGCAACGATTCTCTAAAAATGAAATGAATAACTCGAATTATTTAAAAGTTTACATTGCAAATTTTGTGGAAAACTGCCAATTCTTGCACACCAGGAAAAGCTTTTTCTCTTTCAATCATTTCAAAAACAACACAGCCTAACGACCAAATATCTGCTTTGAAGTCGTACTCACAGGCTTAAAGTTTTAAAAATATTTTAAATTTCTAAACAATGAAATTAGGCAATTCCTTCTATTTCCCATTCAATCAGTCAATAAAAGATTAATAATTTGACGTAGAAAATATAAAAGAGCGTCACATTTTTAAAAAATGATGCCACTCTGATCATTGTCTCTCAATTGAGAATGCCATAGGGCAAGAGTAAACTTGGGAAAAGAAGAAAGCAAGTATGTGACTTTTAAGGAAGAAAAGTAAGGACAAGATTCGAAACTACCTATTAAATTTAAAGTTTACCTCCAAGTATTTCAGGCGCCAAGTAATTAAGAGTGCCAGGAGCGCCAATTTTGCCTTTTAATCTTTGACCAGATTCAAGTGTCAAAGCAATTCCAAAATCGCAGAGTTTCAGCGTTTTGTGATCAGGGTGTTTGTGATCAGTAAGTAAAACATTACTAGGCTTTACCTTAAAAATAATTGGAAGTAATAGCTTGAAAAAGGTTGCTTAACCCCAAAACTCACATCTCTGTGAATAATTCGATGCTCTTGATGGATGTACCTAAGAGCTGAAGCAATTTGTGACGTATAATTGAGAACAATTCTGTCCTCCAAAGGCCTTCCTGGTTGCTTAATGAGTTCGTGAAGAGTTCCACCAGACATGTATTCCATAACTATGTAGACGCTTCTGTGGCTTACGTAGCTCTCAAAGGTTTTGACAACATTTTCATGGTTGATTTGGCTAGTTAGGAAGGCTTCAACTAAAATGTGGGAAATCGACAAGATGAGTGTAAAGGAAATTTAAAGGAAGCTCACACTTGGCATCTTCATTCAACATTATTTTCTTCAAAACAACTTGCTCCCCATCAGAACAGCGTTCACATAAAAAACATTTACCAAATGAACCATTGCCAATTTGTGCGATTGTTGTGAACTTTTCTAGTTGTTCATCGGAAATCATTCTCAAATAGCATTAAGTCGTGTTAGTGAAATTATATTAGTGGATCTATGAAAGGATATTTAAAAAAAGATTTAACTAAAACTTAAAAAGAAAGAAATGCGCTAAAACCAAAAAATTTTTCTCTCAAACTGTTTGGTAAAACAAATTTTGGTGAAATGAAAGAAAGCGCTTTTAACAAAATGACATTTTATTTCGATTTGGTAACTTTTGTAATGGTAACTTATTAATGTCCAAAATTGTTTTTTTATTCTTTTTTTCGGCTTTTTTTAATTTAATTAATCAAATTTTCTAATTTATTTAGTGAATACTTCTTTATTCTAAATAGTGTTATGGCACCACCGCAATTCACCGATTTTGGAAAGTCAACTAAAGATTTGTTCACCAAAGGATATAGTTTGTTTTCATGAAAATTAGTTAAATATATTTTTAATTTTAAGCTCATGGACTTCTTAAATTGGATGTGAAATCGAAATCTGGACCTAATGTCGAGTTCAAAAGTGAAGGCGAACACAATCTTTCGACTCAAAAGATTAAAAACAAGTTGGAAGTTAAATACAAGATTCCTGAATATGGTCAGTGTTTTTAGTTTTTTTTCGCTAAGTTCTCCCTCTGCTTCAAGGTACAACTATAACCGAGTCATTGAACACTGCCAATCAACTCGGATCTATTTTGGAGTTGAACAACCAACTGGCTAAGGGTCTGAAAGTGACTATTGACACCAAATATACTCCAAATTCTGGAAAGCGTGAATGTCTCGTAAAGACTGACTTCTCGGGTGAAATGGTCAGATTGAACGCTAATCTTTCTTTGGTTGGTGCTCCTGTTTTGGAAGTTTTTGGTGTTAGCAAGGTTTATAAGGACTGGCTGGCTGGTGCCAAAGCAAAGTATGATCTTCAAGCAAATGAACTCAAAGCTACTTCTCTTGCTTTTCTTCACCAAACTTCTGATTACGCTTTGCATACCTTTACGAATGATGGGAATGAATTTGGTGGAAGGTTTTTTATCTTACATTTTTATGAGAAATTTTTTATTGACTGATTCCATGTCATAGGGAAATTAAGTGAGGTTGAGGAAGGAATCAAAAGCCGACTATTTTTAATAATTTGAGGAAGAGAAAATGAGAGTATACCAACTTCAATTTTACTTTTTTTTTTAATTTCAGTCTCTACCATAAGGTCCACAAGAATTTTGAATTTGGGGTGCAATATATGTGGAAATTGAAGGAAGAGAATAATCAATGGAGCCTTGCTTCTAAATATCAAGTAAATCCGGATTTGTGTCTGCGCGCTAAAGTCGATCACCAGTTTGTTTTAGTCAATGAATCTTAGTGCTAATTTATTAATATTTTCCCTAGATCTCAAGTGACCGTTGCTGCAACTCATAACTTGAGTTCGACTGTTAAGTTGACTTTTACATCTCAATTCGGACTTGCTGGACTGCCTGACACTTCAAACAAGTATTCCTTTAAAATCAAATTTAAAAAATTTTAAATTTAAAAGGTTTGGAGTTGGTCTCGAATATGCACAATGAATTGTTTGTTTTCTGTTGACTATAAATAAGTTGAAGATGAGTAAATATGAGGCGGTTTATCAAATAAAAATGTGCCGACATTCTTTGTGTTTTTTTAATTATTTAACCGATAGTTGTTTTTTTAATTCTACTTTTTTGTCGTGTTCAGGAATAAATTTAGTTGAATGAAATTTCTCTTTTGTATTTTTAAAAAAGGGTTAATAATCCCAGTGAATTTCTTTGAAGGTGTTAATAAAGATTTGTTTTTTAAATGATTTGTGAATAATAAAAATCCTGCGAAGACTTTATTTGCTATTTAGGGTTTTCGAGACTTTTTTTCGAATTGGATTTTATTGAGCCAAGTCTTTCGACTTCTTTTTTCTACTTCAGACTTTTTGTACTAATTTACTAGTCTGATAATTAATAAGGTTTTTTAAGAGTTCTTGAGGTATCTTTGCCACTATTGACCATTCCGACTTGTTTTATAATGTTTCGCTGAACGAGAGATTCTACAACATTTGCGGACCGACTTGCGGAAAGATCTGCAAATTTCAGTCAATTTCATTCCATAGATTCGAAATAAATTAGTCTGGTGAAGTTGAAATGCCGCTTTTTGGCGTAATTCGTAAAAAAAAGTTTTGGTAAAATGTTTTTGAATATTCTTCAATGATTAAAAATATTCTTCATAAATGAACTTTCATTTATTCCTTTTTCATTTTAGTTTATTCCACAACTTTAATTTGATGAACCTTCTTATAATCATTTAATTTTTTGATATTTTTATGTTTTAAGGGTTTCTAACCTTATATTCTAATTTACATATTTCTTATTTTTAAACAACACAATTTTATTTATAAACAAACGACTGAATATGCCCCCTAGCACTCCTAGCCAACGTCGACCTCAGCAGAAATTTAATAGTCCAAATGCTGATATGATTCGCTTTTCACCTAGGAGTGGTTTAATGAACAAACTTAACATTGACCCAAAGAATGTAAGAATCCTTTTTATATTTTAATTGAAATGTCTATTTTAGGTTGATTGTCTGCAACTTTGTATGGATGTTCCTTTTCTTGATCATCCTTATCTGATTGGACCTCGTGGAAGGAAAAGCCAGGTTCGTTTGTTATTATTTTTGGAATTCACCCGTGATGGTTTTGGGGTTCTTAACAAGGTCGCTTGCTTTGTTAATCGAAAATCTTGCGGAAAATCAGGTGTCGTGTCTTGTCCCACGGTAGAATGTTATTTTATATTTTAGACCTTTAAGTCCTTCTGAAGAGACCTATTACATTCTAATGTCCCAATTAACTAAAATTTAGTACTTCATGACACGTTACAAATCATTGCTACACTTTCCTGATACTAATACTCGACCTGATGGACTCAAATTGAACAACGTTTTGATTAGCGGTTCAATGAAGAATGTTGAGGAAATTCGTTCACAGATTCGTGTAATGTTTCCTTTTAATTTTTCTTATTTATTTTTTTATTTTTAGTTGCGCACTCCAATTCGAGTTATCGTCCAGATTGAGGCTTCTAATCCGCGTCAATTTGTTTCACGCATAGAGGATAAAATCAACGAGCAATCGTTGCCTATTCGTTTTAATGTCTCCGATGACCTTACCAATGGAGTGCTGAAAACTGAGTGGCGCAATGAAGAACTTCTCATAGAATTCTTTAATGAAAATTTCCAACTCAAACAGGGCAAGAAGAGTTCATCTAACGACTTGTTGACTTTTGGTATTGCGTTGCTTCCACTTATTAATCCTTGGAATATTGAGCTTAGTCACCGTCTTATTGGCAATATTGCTGAACAGACTGGTTATTTTTTGAATTTATTTTGTAATTTAATTTTTAGGTTGTCGCATCTTCTATCCTCCCAAGGAAAAGTATGCTATTCAGCCACCTACTTATTTTATTAAGGGGACGTCAATGAGTGGAATTCTTCAGGCTGGCAAATATCTTACGGTAATTTTGAAATTATTTAAGGGCTATATTTTTTGTTGTCCTCTAGAACCCAAAAAGGTTGGCCCACCTTATTAAAATTTTATCCAGACAATCCAATTCCCAAGGGGGTCGTTTTCAGGCGAAGGGGGCTTTAGCCCCAAAAGTCCACTGGTACGCCCTTGCTAATTCCTATTCATTTTAGGGACTTTCTATGCTTCAAATTACTTTTTACATGCCTCCAGGAGTTGTTCCAACAATTAAGCAACAACAACTGGATGATTGGCAAAGGGATCTGCTTGTTCACACAACAATATATAATCCTGAATCTTCTTCTCCAGCGCAATACAAAGTCACTCTTCGTTCTTTTGAATTTTGTCTTAATGGTCTTTATATGGTTCGCTCTACTCTTTTGGGTTTTAAGAGATCTGTGCAAACAGTCAACTATGACTTTATGAAGTTTACCAAATTTTTAATTCCGGTTTGATTTTTTTGAATTTTTGGAGCATCAAATTAAACAAAATCTTTTCTAGTATACTGTCTTCTCCGATTCAAAACTTTTCTATCCGCTCTACTCAGTCGACGACAAAACTTTGAATTGGCCAAGTAAGGATTTCTTCAGCAACTTCTATGGCGGTCCATATTATACTCCACCAGCGGTCGGAGAGAATCATGAAGATGACAAAACTGGCGGTATATTATGTTTTAATTTATTTTTAAAAAGTGGTGTTGGGTGGCAAAATTTTTTCCAGCTTTTTCCCATCTAATTCCCATTAAATTTAGTTCAAGTTGTTCCTGACACTTCCAATGTTGCTCCACCTGTCAAGTCTGAGCCTGCACAATTTGTGTTTCTGCATGCTTTGGATCACAGTTTTAACAGCGAGAGTGCTCATACTTGCTCTCTTATAGCCTCACCGATACACTAAAAGGCCTAGTAATTAATTAATGTATATGTTGGCCTATCCAATTGACAATTTTACATTTTTAATTTTAATTTATTCTTAATATAATAGGTATTATTCTAATTTATAGGGAATCCTCAAGCAAATATTTTTTATATATTTTCTAAATAATTTTATATATTTAATTAATCGGACTTCGGTTTATACATAGAGGCTTGAGACAAGGGGATACACTCTTAAACTGAGTGTTCCCCTTGTCCTGGAAATAGCTTCCTCTGCCCAGCGGTCAATCAAGACGGCTTACCCTGCTCAAATGTTCAATCAAATTTTTAAAAAGCATCTCTAATCGGGTTGTCTTGTATTGGGTTTATCTATAAGTGAGGTCCGATATTCTATAATTAAAATCTTTCGTATATGCAATTAATTTAAATATAATTTAATCATAATTTAATTCATAAATATATCAATATTATTTTTTTTATTTATTTTTAAATCGGATTTAAAACTCCGTTGTTTTCTTATTTAATTTGGCATTAATTTTTTCTATACATGGCGGTTCAGACGCCAACATTTAAGTAATTTTCGAATAGGGTATTTGAGGTTTTCTCTGAAAATGTTTAGCAGAAGTCAGTTAAAAATGACTCAAATGTCTAATATATTTAATTTTTGAGTTGTAAATTGTCAGTTTATTTATATTTGGCTTTAGTGGATCTAAAATACTTAGAGTTTTGTCCCTTCTAGTCTCATACGTTTTCAGGGAAATCTCCCCAATGTCAGTTCAAAAATTGCATGCAAAACTCTACAGCTCTTTCCCAGAATATTAGTTATGTCAAGTCTATTTTTGTATATTTATTTTTTTAATTTTTCAGATTAAATAAACTTTTGACTGATTTTTATTTTAAACTTGGTTAAATTACAGTTAGCAAGCAACAATTCTTAACAATAAATAACTGCTGAAACATTAAATTGAGGTTTTTATTAAAAATTAATTTTAGATTGTTAACAAAATTTTAAGTGAATTTTGTTAACATAGGCTTCATTTAGGAAAGATTTTTCGAATTTTCCCCATTTATATTTTTCTATTTATAACAAGTTATATTTTTATTAATTTTGCAGGAAATGTCTAGTTCATCTCGCCGTTCAAATGAAATTCCGAAGAAGCGTGGCAGATCAGACGTGACTAATGGCAGAAGAGATAGTGAAAGAAATGACAGGCATAGGGCCGAAAAGTCAAAAGAAGTCTATACCCCTAAAGCCGAAAAATCAAAAGAAACGCTGGCAGAGGAGCTCAAAACCAAAGAATTTGTTTATGAAGCAAAAATGCAAATTCAAGAGCGAATGAAGGGATTGGGTCTCCCATTACATCAATTATCTGCAAAATCTGATAAATTCAACGAAACGGTTTTAAGGCCAGATGAAGCTATTGCATTTGCACAACTACACATGGAGAAAGTACAACGACTTAATGAGGTTTGGAAAATTTTTTCTGTTAAAATTCTATTAAAATTTAAGATGAAAACGAAATTAGCTAAAAGCCTTTCTAACGTAAATGTGAAGACCCCATCACTTGTTCTCGAGTCTATGGCTTCTGATAATAAATGGGGGATACTTTCTGAACAACAGTCGAAATCGAAGCCTGTCAAAAAGGAAGAAGCGAATTTTGAGGTTTTTCTCTTAATTTTTAAAATTGGTTAAAATAAGGCCCTTTTTGAATAATCTAAAAGGGTTTATAAAATACCTGTAAAGTTTTGAGAGTGAAATAGGAAATTTGAGCCCCATATGATAGAGTATGAAAGGGAATTGGAAAGAGTTAAGTTAATTGTATTCGTGGTTAAGTGGCTTGGTTGCATGTCTAACATTTTCTATTCATTCCCAGTGAAGAGAGCTAATCCATGCACCACTCTGAGAGTTTCATGACGAGTTGGTTCATCCACACTTTTGTCTGAGGGACTAAATAGAAAATTATTTTTATTTCTTTATAAATTTCTTTTTATTTTCGACTTTAATTATTTCTTTATTTAGGAGAAAAATGCACAAACAACGCCCATTTTGAAGAAAACTATCGAGGCAGAGCCTGATTCAAGTACTGGACCTGTTGTCGATTTTCAGGATCCTCGTCTTTATCTAAAACCGGCATTGCGTAAACGACGTCATTTTGACTTTAAACAGCCCGGTGAATATGAGAAAATGGCCAAAATGCAGCGATCTAAAGCTAAGCTTGAAAAGCTTCAGGTTTTGTTAAAAATATAAAATAATTTAATTGAAATTGGGTTTCAGTCAGAAATCGAAAAAGCGGCCAAGCAGACCGGTATTTCTTCCGCCGTCAAATTGGCTATTGTTACGCCGAGTGGATTGCCCGAAACAAGTACTGGCGAATATATTCCTGAAGTTGAATGGTGGGATGAAGTTGTCCTGGGGAACGGAAAAAGGTTCTAGGAAACGGAAAACTTTATTAATTTTTGAAAGAAATTTTCTATTTCTAGATATGAAAACATTCCCTCAGTTGTGGATATTGCTCCATTGGATCGATATGCTGACACCATCACCGATTTGGTTGAACATCCTATTCAATTGAAGCCACCCGACGAACCTGTTCAACCTCAATACCTAAAGGTTTGTCTATATTTGACCGGGTAATTTTGAATTTTTTTCGTTTTAGGCAAGTTTAACAAAGAAGGAACGAAAGAAATTGCGCCGTCAAAATCGTCGGGAGGCCATAAAAGAGAAAACTGAGAAAATTCGGCTAGGACTTGACAAACCTCCAGAACCAAAATTAAAAATTAGCAACCTTATGCGCGTCCTAGGGACTGATGCTATTCAAGATCCTACAAAAATGGAGGCTGTCGTCCGAAAACAAATGGCTGAAAGAGAACAAAAGCATATTGATGAAAATCGAAGTAGAAAATTGACTCGTGAAGAAAAGGCTTCAAAGGCTATTAGGAAAGTAGCAGAAGACACATCTTTAGCTGTACATGTTGCTGTCTACAAGTAAATTTATTTTTGAATTTAAAAATTAATTCATGTCAGTGGGGCTAAGTCAATTTTTTTAGTTCTCCTCCCATTTTTTCTTTTTCACTATTTCCGTTTGAAAACGAATGACTGAAAAGTTTCCTTCTTAAACGTCCTTGAATTAGGTATAACGGCTGATAGGGTTTTTTGAAAATATCATGTCTCCTAATTAGTCTGGCATAGGATTAGTCTGTAATTAGTCTGTATAGTCTGGCATAGGATATTTGGTCCGAAAGTGACTTATGTTAGTACGGCCCGGTCCGATAAACACAAGTTCGAATAAATGCCTCGAACGTCGCCCGACTCGAAAACGACAACCCTCTCTCTTAATCTCTTTAAATATTAAAATTAAATAATTTCCTCTTAATTTTCTTAATTTAAGAGTTAAATCATTAGCAAATCCAGCAAAGAAATTTAAAGTATTAATGAATGCAAAACAATTACAAATGACTGGTACAATTATACAACTTGAAGATATTAATGTTATTATTGTTGAAGGAGGTTTTTTGATTTTTTTGAATTTTAAATTTAATTTTTAAGGTCCAAAACAACAAAAATTTTATAAAAATTTAATGCTCAATCGAATAAAATGGAGTGAAGAAATTGCTGGACAAAGGCATGTACGTAAAGGGGCACAATTGGACGAGGATTCTCAACAAAATAATCAAGGAAAATTGAATGAGTGTACATTGGTATATTTTTTTATTAAATTATTTTTTCTTAATTTAAGAGGGGAGGGAGGGGGGTTGTTTCTTACCTAAAATTTATTTTTTTGAAAAAAAATTTTTTTGTAGGTTTGGGAAGGAATTGTACAAAAACGAGCATTTAATGGAGAGCCGCGTTTTATACAAGTTAGTAATCACAAACAAGCTAGAGAAGTTCTTGATAAATACGGAGTAGCTCATTATTGGGATCTTTGTTATGCAACTTCAGTTTTACTTTCTGATGATAAATAATGAAAGAGTTTTGACCTTTTAATGTGATTTTTTTAACTCGATTGAATGTTCTTGTATTTTGATAAATTTTTAATTTGATTAAATAAATGGAATTTAATGGGTTGTTAATTATTATTTAAAACAAGGAAAATTGTTCAAAAAATTATTTTTGATTATCTAGAAAATAATTTTGGAGGAAAATAGTAAAGAAAAAAAATTTTTGCTCCCAGGCGGCATCGATCCGCCGACCTCCAGTTTACTAGACTGGCGCTCTACCATCTGAGCTATAGGAGCTGACGAGAGAAATTTATTTCTTTTAATATAGAAAATTGTAAAGAAATAATAAAATAATCATTTTTGTTTTTCATAAACTAATTCACATACTGAAAAAGCTAGTCTTCTCCTTCCATTATTATTATTTTCATTTGAAGTGTTAAATGTTTCATTATCATTTTTAGCCTAAAAAATTAATTTTATTTTTTATTGAATTAATTTTTTAAATAATTTTTTTCTACCAAATCTCCTTCAGAATCCCCCTCATTTTTGACTAAATTATTCGTTCCATTCTCAGAATGAGGAGTATCACAATTAATTTCAATTGTTTCTGTACCTTCTAATAAGTTGTCTTCATTTATTTTTTCCCCGAAATTATTTTTAAAAATTTCTTGAAGTGTTTTTGTAATTAAACAAACATTAATTTGAGCAATTTCGTTAAGTAAAAGACAGCTTTGAAGATGCCTTAGTGGCTCTTTAATTTAATTTTAAAATTATTAAGAATAAGGGTAGATTTCCTTAAATTAAGTATTTTAATTCGAAATAAGGACATTACAAGCATTTTGGCTCTCTCGATTATTAAGAAAAAATTTCAAAAAATGAATTAATTGCCAGACGCATTTTTGATAATTAACAATGTCGAACTATGTATACTACACTGCGTTCCAAAAGTATATGCACCCCTAGTTTTTTGATTTTTTATACATTTTTCTTACTTATTTTGATTAGACTTTTTGTCTATATATTCTTCTAGATAAATGTGTATGTTTAAACTAAAAAATAAAAATATCCCATATCAGTTCATTTTTTTATCACCAATTATTTAATTATTCACTGTTCCAAAAGTATATGCACCCCCCTCAAAAATTTTTATTTAGCAATCAAAAAATCCAAAAAAATTTCTCTAAAGATATCTATCAATATAGATAAGAAATACAAAAGAAACGAAGTTTTAATATACTTCCATCATCGAGATCTTGAAACCAGAAAATCAACGGAAAACCGGGAGTGACGTCTTTAAAAAATATTTTCGTCCCCTTACAGGTGAGATAAAAATTTTATGTTGGCTTATTTGAAAGCCCTCGAAATTTGCTACAAGATAGTTTTCATCTCATAATCCAGAAAAAATTAATCTTTGAGAAATAATGAGTTTAGTTTTTAAGTTATATTTTCATCAATTTTTGGGGGCGTTTGAGTGATTTTTATGACCTGAAAGTTTATCAACTTTAGGTTTTACAGTTGTATTTTTTTCGGAAAATAAAATTAATGCTATCTTGTAGCAAATTTCAAGGGCTTTCAAATAAGCCTAAAATGGAATTTTTATTTTACCTGTAAGGGGTCGAAAATATTTTTTAAAGACGTCTACCCCCTGTTTTCCGTTGATTTTCTGGTTTCAAGATCTCGATGATGGAAGTATATTAAAACTTCGTTTCTTTTGTATTTCTTATCTATATTGATAGATATCTTTAGAGAAATTTTTTTGGATTTTTTGATTGCTAAATAAAAATTTTTGAGGGGGGTGCATATACTTTTGGAACAGTGAATAATTAAATAATTGGTGATAAAAAAATGAACTGATATGGGATATTTTTATTTTTTAGTTTAAACATACACATTTATCTAGAAGAATATATAGACAAAAAGTCTAATCAAAATAACTAAGAAAAATGTATAAAAAATCAAAAAACTAGGGGTGCATATACTTTTGGAACGCAGTGTATGCACTAAGGAACATACTGTCCGATTCCCGAAATTGGAAATTTATTTTTTATATAGGCACGGTCCCTGCTAAAATTAAATCCTCGATTTTCAGCAAATTCTCTTTTCAAAAATTAATCTACAAATCCTCACTCAAAATTAGCTGGCCGTCCTCGGTATTCGCATAAAATCGGTATTGGGACTTAAATGATGGTCTCGATAAAGACTGAGGAATTGGCCGAAATCGGGATAGGGATTTGTCTTTGGGTCTCAGGGAACAGCAGAATCGGGATCCGAATTTAAATAGACAGGATATCCCGCCCGATTCTGATCGGGATCCCGATATCGTCCGATCAGAGTCAGGTGGGAATATCCCGGAGTTATGAATTCCGATCCCGATTTTGCTGATCCCAATACCTCCCAACTCTACTTAAAATTAAAAAATCTTTCATTTTCCAATTTATCAACTTACTATTTGAATGGATATTTTGTTGGTGTTGTGATAAATTTAATAATAATAAATGTGCCATTTGTGGATATTTATCTAAATTTTATTTTATTTCTTCTAAAATTTCCCCAAAAAACCTCTAAAAAGTAAATTAGCTCTAAATAAATTCCATTCAATACTATCTAAATTTAATTGTTGTATTTGAAGACAAATCCGCCCAATTTGTGAAAATAGAGGGTTTTTTGATTTAATTAAATTTGTTTGGTATTTTTGTAGTAATCCTTCTTCTATTGAACTTGATAAAAGTAAACGTCCTAAGGAGGAGGAGAAGGCTGCTACTGACTTTAAAAAATTTAAGTAAAATTATTTTAGGGGTTATAAGAGGTTATTTAATTTTTATTTGGTACAATCTAGGGTAACACCCCGACTCCCGACGAATTTTTAGGCAAAACCTTGACCCGAACTCTCAAGGCTCTACCCCGGCAAACTTTGATCTTCGACGATCCCGCCCCCGCAGACTCGGGGTTCTACCCTAGTACAATCTAATCTCAACCTTATTTAGACAAGCTGAAAATTTGAGCTTAAAATCGAGTGTATCCATTATCGCTTAGAAAGCTTACCCCATCCAATGACACTTTAAATTGGGTAGGATGTAACTAAAATTAGTATTATTCCCCTTAGGCTATAGATAACCTAGTAGTTTTCTCCTCGATAGAAATCTTTGATTTATCCCACCATGTAAACGTCAAAATTAAACATCCTAATGAGGAGGAAAGTAAACGAACACTATCGGAGAGCAAGTCCCATCCAATCTTTTGTTATTTTCTGGGATGGGCTTGGCAGTATTCAGGATATTTGAGCTTTAAAAGGTTAACTGGGCAAGCGAGGAAAAGTTTTTCTTACAATTTAAAATATTGGGATGAATTGTCAAGCTTTTCAAGGCATGACCGAAATTAAAATCCTTTCCATAAAATAAAAAATAAATTCTCGATCAGTCCAAATACTGTATATTTTAGCTTTTCAATGTTTCTTTGGATTAGCGGTAAAATTATTTTTTTAAAGAAGGGTATAATAATAAATTGTTATTTATAAAATAAATTTCTTTTGGTTCTTTTAATTGCCGAACAGAAAAAAATAAATTTATTTTTGTTTACCTGAATGAAAGGAAATTAAGGAATTAAGGAGAGGATATTTACATATTACGAGAATATTATTTTATTTTTTTTATTTAATTGCCGGGAGGACCATAAAAAGTGGGTTTTTTTGTTGGTAAAAGGAAATTATTCAAAAAGATTTTTAATTTTTGAGAAATTTTTTGGACTTCAATATAAAATATCTACTCACAGAACTTAACTCTTAATTAAAAAAATTTTGGTTGTCAATTGGGTTGGAGTACTGTCTAAGCGATATATCCACTTTAAGCGATATCCACCCCTTTATTTTAAAAGGTCGACGATACTTGATAAAATTTTCGTTTTTCCTAAAATAGGGGCCAACGTGATTTAGAACCCCGCCTTATATGTATGTAGAGTAGCTGAAGAATATTTTAAAAAATATTCGTGTTTTTTTTTAAATTTAAAATTTATCTTAAGAGGTCGATGATACTTGATAAAATTATCTTATTTTATAAAATAAATCCATCCTGAATTAGAACGCCACCTTAGAGAGTATTTGAAAATATAACCTCACGGGGTTTTATTTTATAATATATGGCGGAAATTAAAATTTTGGATTAACAAAAAAAATTTTGGGTGTTGGTAACAGGAAATTATTCAAAAAAGATTTGAAAAATATAACCTTATGGGGTTTATTATTACTGCCCTTATTATTTGCCCAATCTTCTATATTGAATTTAAAATTATAAATTTTAATATAAAATAAAAAAATTTTCTAATAAAATTTTTTTATTAAGTTTAATTAATTTTTCTCACCTGTTCTTGAGGTAAATTAACAGAATTATTGTTTGAAGTCCCCGCAAATATAAAAAGATTATTTGCCCAATTAAAAAGTTTTTTAGTTATAATATCCAATTTAGTTAATTCCTCCACTTCTTTTGATTCTTTCCGAATAGTTAAAGATGAATTTGAAGAGGAGGAAGGGGCGGCAGAACAATTTGAAGAAGAAGAAAATATTAAATTGGGTAGGTTTTCTGTTGATTTACTATTGTTGTTTCCTTTTAATTGAAAATTAAAACAGGGAATTGTAGGGAATTGGGAATAGTGGTCGTTTTACGATTATCTTATAGACAAGATACTGTTAAACTTTTATTAACTACCCCGGGTAATTATTGTTTCAACCTTCTGCTGGAGGGAGTAATTAATTAAGGAAAGGTAATTTTACGAGGCTTGAATTTTGAACGTGTTTTAGGGCATTTGTTAGGCACAGCAGATTTTTGATTTTTGGGATAAATCATTCAGATTTTTGGGATAAAATTCCTCCATATTTTCTCTAACGGCCCTTGGATTCTATTAATTAATCAAAGCTCCTAAGGTCTTATATTAAAGCTTTAAAAGAGTTATGGATCTGCTGAATCTGAGAATTGTCCTGATATTTGTATTTTTTGGAAACTTTCTTATAATTCTTTCCAAAATCTCAGCAAATTAATTTTCTTTAAACTCGATTTTCTATTAGAAAAGGGTGTTCAATTAAAGATCTATGTACTTTAAACTTGTTTTATTCAAGGATTATCTCAAGATATCTCTTAAACATATTTACCTTCTTGGCAATCGTTTGAAAGTTTCCGCCCTCCTTCATCTTCTTCTTTTACTCTTTTTAAGGAATTTTGACGTTTTTGTTTTTCTATCAACTAAATTTTAATTTTTAATTTTTATTTTAAGGTTAAAATAATTTTTTAAAAATATACAGTTGCCCCCTTACTTGTAGAAAAAATCTGAGTAATTAATTTTTAATTTAGCAATTTTTAGATAATTCCTAGAACTAATTGGATTCCTCCTAATTAAGGGGAATCTTCCATAAATTAAAACCTCCAAAAAAATTCCGGAAGTTTACCTTCCTTCGAGAAAGTGGAAGAAAAACTTTCTTGGTTAATTTCCCCTCAAAGTAATTAATTTTTTAAAAATATTTTCTAAAAATATTTTTTGCTTTCGAGAATGTCACAGCAAGTATTTTTAAAAATAATTTTTGCTTGCCTTCCCAAAAAATTTTGTTTCCCGCTAATTTTTTTATTAAAAAAATTTGGGGTCGAATTGCGCAATATTTTCCCAAAAAAATTAATTTTTCTACCGCCAATCCTTGAAGGAAGGCACTTGCTGCAAACAATTGTTGTGGTGGTGGGGGGTGAGGGAAGGATTGGGGAGGAAATTGTGTTGGTGTTCCTATATTTATTGGAGGAAATAAAGAGGTGGAGGAGGTAAAGGAGGAGGAAGTTGTTGGAATTGTAGTAGATAATTGTGGGGGGATTGAAAAACGCTGAAAATTAAATTTTTTGAAAATTTTTGAAATTTTTGGAAAATTTAAAAAAATTTTTTGAAAATTTTTGAAATTTTTAAAAATTAAAAAATCTTTCTCCTTACAGTCAATAATGCTTCCAAAGGTGGTGGTGGGAAGGGAAATGGAGGTCTAGGTGGTAGAAGAGGAGGATTGTTAGTTGAACGAGACTGCTGAAAGATGAATGTTTAAAATAGCTATTAAAATATTTAAAAATCTTTAGCTTATCCCTCTCCCAATTATCCTTCTCTTTGACGTATCACGGGCAATTTATTCCAGAATTGGTCATCTCTGAGTTCTTAATTTTTATTCCCATATTCTTAAATATTCCCAACTTTACGCTATCCAATTTTTAGGGGATCAAGTATCCTAAAGAGTGGGATAAGTGAAGAAAGGAGTGGGATATGATAAAGATTTTAGTTTAGAAACGAACAGAAGAGGGATTTATAGCCGCCCTAGAATGACTTCTAATTAACGAAAGTCGTCCTCTTTGGCCTGGCATTTTAGTGCCATTATTATGTTGATTTTCATTTTGGTTATGTATTCTTTGTTGCTGTCTTTGTTGTTGAAGACCATTCATTAAAAGCATTTGTTTACGCATTGTTGATTGGCGAGGACCGCGTTCATGTTGGACTGCTGAAAGTTTAAAAACAGATGAAAATGAAATAAAAATTAATAAAAACATTTTAAAAAATATATTCGCTTATCTAAAAATAATTTTTGGAAGAAAATAGTTAAGAAAAAAATATTTTGCTCCCAGGCGGCATCGATCCGCCGACCTCCAGTTTACTAGACTGGCGCTCTACCATCTGAGCTATAGGAGCTGACATCTACCAATTTTTATTTTTAATATATAAGACAAATAAATAATTGGGCAAATTAATCAAAAAGCATGAAATTTAATCATTCTTCAATAAATTTTTTTGAGATTACACTTTTAACATTTTCAAATCAGTTTGGGCAGTTAAAAGAAAAATTCTCCTTATTTTTTTTTCACTCAATAAACAAATAAACATTTCAGCACTTTATTTAAAAGTTCAATCAACAGCTCCTATAGCTCAGATGGTAGAGCGCCAGTCTAGTAAACTGGAGGTCGGCGGATCGATGCCGCCTGGGAGCAGAAATATTTTTTTCTTAACTATTTTCTTCCAAAAATTATTTTTGGATAAGTAAAAATATTTTTTTAATTTTTAAATAAATTCTAAAATTAATAACCATCTTTATTCATTCCAATATCCAAACATTTTTGTAATCTGCAAGCTCTACATTGATTTCTGTGTGTTTTGTCAACTGGACAATTATCCTCTAGAAGACCTCCGCCTTTGTTTTTACATACATATTGGCGATGACGTCGAACAGAACGCTGTTTATAAATAATTAAAAATTTCTTTCATTTAAAAATTAAAAAAATAAAGTTTACTTTAAAGAACCCGGCACATCCATCACAACTTTAAAAAATAAAATTAAAAATAAAGTGAATTAATTAATTGCTAATTTTTTAAATCTAACGATAAATCTAAGTATTACCTGTATATCCCATAATGCTTTCCAGATGAATGGTCTTGGCAAACTCGACAGGGAACGTCAACAAGGATACGACCTGTTTAATTTTTTTATTTAATTTTCCTAATTTTAGTTAAGGCATCTTCAAATTGCCTTAACTAATTTTAGTTGTTAAATTAGAGATTTAAAATATTTTTTTTAATTTTATTTTCCTAATTTTTTAGTTGACTAAGGCATTTTTAAGTTCTGATTGTGTCTATTATTAAAGCCGAATTTTGCGCCGAATTTTTGGAATTACTTTCAAATAAAGTACGAATCGGAACCCTGTTTTAGAGCTTTGCTTCCAGCCTCTTAATTTTAAATTTATTTGTACCTCTCTAACTTGAGAGATAAACTGCCTTTTTAATATGGTTGCCCTTTAACTCAGTAGCTAACCCACAACCAGAGGTGAATTCCGACTTCCAATTTCAGAAAATTTACGATTATTTCCGACTTCCGACTTTTGAGCCATTTCCAACAGTTCCTGTTTCTGGAACTTCTGCTCACAATATACAATTTTTAACTTCGAGGGATATGACATAGTAAAGTTAGTTGTATTTACATAATCTTGTAATTTTTCTACTTTATTTACAATATTTTTATTCCTCATTATTTCCACATTTCCCCTTTTTAATTTTTAATTTTATCCATTTTTAATAATAACTTTTTCCTCAAAAAATCAAATAAAGATGTGCTTTTTAAAGCTAAGAAAATGCCATAAAAATTAATAAAAGAAAGCAATTTGTGCCTTCATTTTATTAAAAATATTGAGAGAGAAACAAATAAAAAAATAAAAATTTTTTTGTTTGAAGAGAATGAAGAGGAGTGTTTTTAAAAAAGAAAAAGCTTAAACAGTGCTTGAACTAAAAATGACATTTTTAAAGGCAAAAAGGCTTTAACCCTCTTATTTTTAAGGAGAGGGAACTTCTCGACTTGGACATGGATTTTTGGGAAAATATTTTGGAGGGAATTGTTTGGGGAAAAATTTTGTATTTGATGGGATAGAAGGCTTTAATGGGATAAATATTAAAAGACACAGAATACTTCAGAAATTAAATGAGAATAGAATTAAGAGCTTAAAGAGTAAATAAATATATTAAAGAAGAAATAAATTTGTAGAGAAAAAATTACAAAAAAAAAATCTTTAGAAAACAATATACAGATTAAGCTTTCAGATGATATATAGTCGAGCTCACTTATGTGTACCCCATTTATTGGGGGGGGGGGGGGGGGGGGGCACTTTCTAGGGGGGGGGAAGGAAGGGGAGGAAATATTAAAAGACAAAGAATATACCCCCTCTTTGGGGTAGTCCTCATTTTAATATGCATTTTTTCAGACCCTAGTAAAATTTCTCTGAAAGTAAAATCTTCTTTGTGATTTAATTTTATACTACTTAAAAAAGGTGTTTAATTTTCAATAAAAATTCAATAAACTTACTTGAAGAGATTGTTGTCATAATATTATAATAATTAAGTAATTTATTAATATCCAAATCTAGTTTAAATTTTATTAAGTAAAAAAATAAAATGAATTTAAAGAGTTCTTAGCTAAAATAAAGTTGAAAAATTTTCGGAAATAAATATTTGCCAATTAGGGAAAACATACAGTCTGTCAATTATAATAATTAACCAAAAATTCGAATCTGGACACTTTTGGTATGATTTTACGCATCTCGTCGAGCTGCGTCAGAAAGTGCCAAAGTAGACTTATCATGGCATTATACCGTCTATAGTTAGCAGCGATAGGTCGGGTTATTCGAAACCGAAATTTTTTCGACTCTGGACTGTTAGAGATGAAAAGGGAATTATTTAGAGTAATAAAATAAATATTCGTAATTATTAAAATTAAAATAAAATATTAAAAAAAAAGATAAAAATATATTCATTTATTTGTTAATTCATTTCAACAAATCCTTTACAATATAAATCCCTAAACAATATTTTTTAGCTTTCTGTTCTCTGTCACGCCTCTTTTTTTCACTTAAAAATTCTTTACATTTGTACTTGTGTTAAACATTCTAACAAGTTTTTTCCCTCCGTCACACTATTTTGTGGGCGTGCCTTTTTTTGTGTATTATTTCCCCCAACAAATTTAACCCCTCCAATAGCGCCTTAGTGACTCTCTGCCGTTAAACTGAAAAGTTTTACAGTATTTTTTGTTGAATAGAAAGAAGGAACTAACAAAAAATTAAGTAAAATATATTTATCTTTTAATCCCTGATTTTTAACATCAGATTTTGATAAGTTGATAAGCTTCGTTTTTAAGAACGAACTTGGCTGGCCAACGATAAAATCAAACATCTGATTCCATAACATGATGGGTCGGGTTACGTCGAGTCGGGTTTCGAGTTTTCAACATTTCCTTTAGTTTCGGGGTTTGAGTAACACGACCCATCCCTGCTTCATAACCATTCCTGGCACGCTTAGGTGCACTTTAATTTAAGGCATGCATTTTTTAAATCTAGCTAGTCACTTTTTGGGTGAGATGCCTGAGCTATCAATAATAGATATATTCGATTTATGATCACATTTTTCATCCCCAAAGGGCTTTGTCGGATCAGGACCATTCTATTCACTGTTTCCACAAATTAAAAATATCAGCACAAAACCCAGAATTAATATTTAATTTTCGGGGTTAATTAAGACTTATTGTTAATAAAGTACCACCATTTGCTTTGTATTTATTATTATTTAACAACATTAAAATATCCCTTCTCTAACTCCAAAATTTAAATATATTTAAATATACACATATCCTTTTTCCAATTTTTGTCCTTGATATATTTAAAATATTGTAAATATATAATACTTGAACGGAGCATTCTTCTCTCTCACTTGTCAGTTTAACAAGTGCCTCCTCTCCCTCCCTCCTCAAAAAAGGAAGTGAGAAGCGATCCATGTAGCAACAAAACAATCATAAAAATAAATATATTCTTGTTCAAAAAATTGTGGTTTTTGTGTATTTTTAAATATCCTCGAAGAGACTGTTCTTTAGTTAATAAATATGGCAAGTTTATAATTTTTAAAAACTTCACATTTGTCCTCCAAAAATATTTTTGTTTGCCAATCAATTAAAAAAAAAGAAGAGATTTTTGGATAAATAAACAGTTAATTGGAGGGGGAGTAAAAAATGAAATTTTAGAATTCAAGAAAGTCAGAATTCTAAGGTACAAAAATATTTGCGTTTTCGTCATAAATCTCCAGTAAAAAAGCAGACAAAATTAAATTAAGTGTGCGCCACAACCTTTTCACTACGTGTAAAAACGCCAAAAATGACAACGCCAAACCAAACGCAAATTGGCGTTTTTACACGTAATAAAAATAGATTGGCGCACAGTTAAATTCTATAAGTTGCAATTTTTTGGCGTTTTATGAAATCTTTGGCGTTCCATTTTTCGACTGTAAACGCAAAAATGATAAATTTAAAATTTGTTTTTGATTGTTAATTTATTGGAAGGGATATTTTAGACAACAATACTTTAATTTCCAAAAAAGTCTCGACGACATTCTCTCCTCTCTTAAATTTTTCAAAAGCAACTACCGCCTGTACAATAAGTTTTGTTTTGCGCCAAGAGTTTGTGCAAATATTTAATCTTTTCCCCAAGTGAATTAAACAAAAGAGGATCTCTCTAAATAATAATTTTGAATAGATACGAGTATATCACTTCCATAAAAAGAATTTTTGAAGAGATTTTACGCAGTGAAGATTTTTTTAGAAAAAAGGTTTTGACCTAAAAAATGATTTTTTGTCGGTCTTCCAAAAAAATATTTTTTTTTCAAAATTACAATATTCTCCCCTCTAATCTACACACTAACTTTTTGTTCTTCCTCTCCTCATTTCACGCCCAAAAATTAACAAAAATATTTTTTAATTGTACTTTAAATTGAGCGACAAAAAATACTAGAATAAATAGCGGATTTAGAGGTACTTAAAAACTTGAAGAGAAAAAATTGAACAAAAAAGAGGTGTCGGCACATGAACTTTAGAATAATATATTTAATACATTTTTGGTAGCAATTGAAGAACCTATCTTTTTCAAATAAACACAAGTACATACCTTGATTGAATCAAAAAAAGTTGCGGCTTTTTAATAAACAGTGAAAAAATAACCGGATAAGCTATGCCCTTTATAGAATCGGACCTGATTCTAGATACAAACTTAGAGAGGAGAAACCTCAACCTTGTAATAGGGGTATATTAACTAGAAGGTATCGCTTAGGAAGCTCCCAACACATATTAGGACTAAGAATGAGAGGTAAACGTTTAGCCACCGGGCAGGATTCGATCCTGCGACCTCCTGGCAGTTATTGCTAGTCGCTTACGCACAACACATACAGGTGCTTTACCGAGTAAGCTATCGGGGCGCTGTTTCACTTTTAGATATTGAACTGCCTTATTAAGCGTTCTAAGTGTTAGGTAGATGGATCTACCTCCCTCTTCTTCCCTTACAAGGGCAACCAACAAGGGCAACCAACAATAGATTTAATTGTTTTTAATATTTAATTCTGAGGCTATCGTGAGATCCAATTGTATAGTTAAAGACGAAAATATAACAGATAAATCAAGAATTTATGAAATG